GAAGAATACAGGGATGTTGTTCAGGAAGCTAGGGACCAGGTTAGGAAAGCTAAGGCCCAGTTAGAATTAAACTTGGCTAGGGATGGGAAAGATAACAAGAAGGGATTCTGTAGCTACATTGCAAATAAAATACTAGGGACAACATGGGCCCTCTCTGGAAGCTATCAGGAGAACTGGCTACACAGGATTTGGAGAAGGCTGAGGTTCTTAATGACTTCTTTGTCTCAGTCTTCACTGGCAAAGGCTCTGACCAAACCACCCAAGTCTTGGAAGGCAGAGGCAGGGACTGTGTGGTGGAAGACCTTGGGCCCGCTGTAGGAGAGGATCTGGTTCGAGACCATCTTAAAAACCTGAATGTGCACAAGTCCGTGGGACCTCATGAAATCCATCCGCGGGTCCTGAAGGAGCTGGTGAATGAAGTTGCTAAGCCACTGGCCATCATATCTGAAACATCATGGCAGTCAGGTGAAGTTCCCGATGACTGGAAAAAGGGAAATATAACCCCCATTTTCAAGAAAGGGGAAAATGGATGACCCTGGGAATTACAGACCAGTCAGTCTCATCTCTGTGCCTGGCAAAATCTTGGAGCAGATTCTCCTGGAAGGCATGCTAAGGCACATGAAAAACAACAAGGTGCTTGGTGACAGCCAGCATAGCTTCACTAAGGGGAAATCCTGCCTGACCAATTTAGTGGCCTTCTGTGATGGGGCTACAGAACTGATGGACAGGGGTAGAGCAGTTGATGTCATCTAACAGGACTTGTGTAAAGCGTTCGACACTGTCCCACACGACATCCTTGTCTCTGAATTGGAGAGACATCAATTTGATGGATGGACCACTGGGTGGGTAAAGAGCTGGCTGGATGGCCGCACGCAAAGAGTTGTGGTCAATGGCTCAATGTCCAGCTGGAGACCAGTAACGAGTGGTGTCCCTCAGGGATTGGTGTTGGGACCAGTCTTGTTCAACATCTTTGTCGCTGACATGGACAGGGGGATTGAGTGCGCCCTCAGCAAGTTTGCCGATGACACCAAGCTGTGTGGTTCGGTTGATACACTGGAGGGAAGGAATGCCATCCAGAGGGACCTTGACATGCTTGTGAGCTGGGCTGATGCCAACCGTATGAAGTTTAACCATGACAAGAGCAAGGTCCTACACCTCGGTGGGAGCAATCCCAGGCACAGCTACAGGTTGGGCAGAGAAGAGATTCAGAGCAGCCCTGCGGAGAAGGACTTGGGGGTGTTGGTTAATGAGAAACTCCACATGAGCCGGGTTCAGTGTGCACTCACAGCCCAGAAACCAACCGTATCCTGGGCTGCATCAAAAGGAGGGACCAGCAGGTCGAAGGAGGTGATCCTGCCCCTTTGCTCTCATGAGACCTCACCCGGAATATTGTGCAGTTCTGGTGTCCTCAACATGAAAAGGACATGGAACTGTTGGAACAAGTCCAGAGGAGGCCACGAAGATGATCAGGGGACTGGAGCACCTCCCGTATGAAGACGGCCGAGAAAGCTGGGGCTGTTCAGCCTGGAGAAGAGAAGGCTGTGTGGAGACCTCATAGCAGCCTTCCAGTATCTGAAGGGGGCCTGTAAGGATGCTGGGGAGGGACTCTTCATTAGGGACTGTAGTGGTAGGACAAAGGGTAATGGGTTAAAACTTAAACAGGGGAAGTTTAGATTGGCTACAAGGAAGAAATTCTTTACTGTGAGGGTGGTGAGGCACTGGAATGGGTTGCCCGAGGAAGTTGTGAATGCTCCATCCCTGACGGTGTTCAAGGCCAGGTTGGACAGAACCTTGGGTAACCTGGTTTAGTGTGAGGTGTCCCTGCCCATGGCAGGGGGTTTGGAACTAGATGATCTTAAGGTCCTTTCCAACCCTAACTATTCTATGATTCTGTGATTCGATGATTCTGTGATTCTATTTCTGTGAACACCTAAGTGTGTGACTGAAAATCAGGACTCAGAATTTTAAGTTAGCCTTACGTGGACACCGAAGTATAAGAAAAATTCTAAATTTGAGAGGGTTTTATCTTAACAAGTTAGTGGCATGGATAGAACCTGCTAAAACAGAATGTGTGTCTGTTGCTTTGCTTTCAGTCCTATCTGGTCTGTTTCAGTGAGATTTAATGGGAATGAGAGATACACTTTTCTCATAATTATAAAAAGGATTAATGTGGAATGTAGAGGTGACTAGATACATTATGACAATAACAGATCACTGAAGAAAAACTCTTTCATGACACATACCATTATTGCTGTTACAGACCCGTAATTTGACGACTACTGCACAAAACCCCAGATTAAATGATTTTATAATCATGAGCCCATTAAAGGTTTCAGAATTGTCTGGTTAGATTAGGAAGAATTTGGTTGTGGATAAACGTGTGTGATTTATTGTGCTACTTAAAAAGGGCACAAACACATGTACTTGTGAAGCGGGCTGCATCTGTACAACAGCTGGGTCTCCTTCATGCTGTGTGTGTGGCCTTCGCACTGACGTGTGAACTTCGTATTGATCCCCTTATGATTTTTGCATCTTTAGCATAGTAGAAGTATTTATTTTAACATGCAGTTCTCTCATCCCAAGTAGACAGGACGTGATACTATTGATCCTCAGGCCAGTCATCCATTAGGCATCCATTAAGATCCAGAGTGATAGACAAATGTGAACTACAATTATTATAATTCTATCAAAGGGCTGCTAAGATAAGGCAGGAGTCTAGCTCAGCGAGGATAAGGATCACGTGAACCCCCAAGATACTACTGTAGCCACACTTTTGTTGAAATAAAAAGGCCTGAAGCAGTATCTCAGTGTGCTGAGAGATGTCCTCTGGTGAACTGTGGTGTTTCCAGACAGTAAATAAAGCCCCTAGCCCTCTGTTTCACCACTCTGCCAGAGTTTTTCACTATCAACAAAAGGAACCAGAGTCTGTGCTTTGATTTTAACGTGTTTTCTACATCCAACATGATCTGTTTCCCGTAGATGCTCCAGAAAGCATCTGTCATCATCACTACCTTAAGATAGTTTCAGCCTGGCCTGGTATTCTCTGTCTTTTCTTTCTTATTCTGGTGTTTCCTTTCCCATGTTATAATTTGGTCTTTTTACTCTATTTCCCTGGCCAAATCTCTGAAACTCTCTGCTGAGTGGATTAATCTTAACAAGATGTGATGCCATGAGCATGACCATGAGCACATACCTCTGTGGTATGGCTGTACTGTAGACACGTTTGAAGGTATTTGCTTAACTGAGCTGTGTGTTTAAAATTACACTCATGAGATTATGGGCAGATGAGGATCATAGTTCTTGTTAGTATTTTTAAACTGCATGGCATCCCAGGCAAATTAAATGTGCTTTTCTGTTGTATTTTAACCGTACAAATAGATCTTTAGGATTGTGCTGTTTTCCTCAATGGAGCACGTGTAATTACCAAATATCTGAACTGTCTGTCTGAATGTGTACATGGGTCTCTGTCAAATGGGCCCTTGGTATGATGTGCTCAGCTGGGTGAGTCACCTGTCATGGGCTTGGGGACCTCAGCTCTACCCCAGCTACTCACTTCCCTTCCGGCACCCACTTTTGTCAATACACCATCTTATTAGCGCTCTTGCACATGCTTATTAACCTGTTTTGGAACCTGATTTAACCTGACTCTTAGATGACAATCAGAAGTTTGAAACAGCGCAAAGCTTTCAATTCAGCATAGCAACTGTAAGTTGTTGCATCTCTTCAGTGAGAGTCACTCACAGAGTTTGTGCTGCTAAAGGGGTGATGTTCAGTGTTAGCAAATGCCGCAGCTTTACCTCAGCATCCCAGTTCCTCTTACTGCTGTCTCTTGCTTTTCTTACTCTTCCCCAGGAAGGCTGTCCTTTCCGTATGATTGCTCTGCCAGTTCTAGTCAGCGAGGAGCTGAACCTGGGCCCACTGATGACAGAGTAACAGAGTTGCTGGTTTTATAACTGAATTGCACCCACCGCAACTTTCCCTGCAGGGCATGTAAGTAACCCTGGGGGCACACGTCCCTTGAGGCTGGATGGAAACCCCTTAAATATGCATTTTACTTCATTGCATCTCTTTCATGGGAAACCTGGTTCAGTAATGTTTGTCATTGATTGTTTCGTGACATTGATTTTACCAATCACAAGTTAATTTAGTGATTGGAGAGTTTCTGTTATAAATACCCACAGACTGCACATCTGGGGTATCTTGTGACTGCCAAAGAATGCAAAGATTTAATTTTTTTTGAAGCACAGAGAGAAATTTTTCTGTGTTTATAGTGAAATATAGCAGGACCACATCGTTGCACTGGGGGATTGAACTGTGCCCTGCAGCACAACCCTCATTTGTGTACTTGAGGAACTGGTGCTGTTGCTGGGTTTGCTGCTGCTGTCAGCGTCTGTAGCTGCATGAAACCACTGCTCAGCAACTGCAGCACTTTGTGCCCTGGAAGAGAGCAGCTGTGCCACTATGAGAGAAGGTGGGACCAATTTTCTGGGGACGGGAACACCTGCAAGTGGGAAAACAGTGAAAAGTTCAGGAAATACATGAGGTAGAGCTGGTTCATTCCAGCAGTTAGTGGCCTGAACAAGAGTTATCTTTCATCTTTTATTGTCCTGCTGGTTAACTTTGTCATCTTGGTGCTTGTGAACACAAGACTGTCAAGTTTTCAGTGGAACAGGATGGGTTTATGTAATTTATATCGACCCAAACCGTGTCGACTTGTTGAGATCTGTAACCCTGTTTGCACGACCGCATTACCTGTTTCACATAGACAGGGCCTGGCAGGGTGCAGGTCCCATTCCTTCGGACGAGCTCCGAAGGGAGCGGAGCGCTGCGGGCAGAGCCCCGGTTGCGGAGGGTCTCTCACCCGAGCACGCTGCCCGTGGCAGCAGATTTGGCCCCTGCAACGCGTTCGCTTCCGCCAGCTGCCTCCCCGGCTGAGCCGAGGCTGCTCCCCGGCAGGGGGGGCCTGCGGGCCGCCGCGGGGCTGGGCGCGGCCTCCCGCCATGGGGCCGCGGGCTCCTCGCAGCTCGCCTGGCGGAGGTGCAGCCCCGTGGAGCGTGGCGAGGGCCGGGCAGCAGCGGGAGCGGGGCCCCCCGTACCGGGCAGCAGGCCCCACGGCCCGGCCGTGGAGTGCGGGCGGGCCCGGCCCTGCCTTCCCCTCCTTCTCTTGCCTTCCTTCCTTCCCTTCCCTTCCGCACCGGGCCGCGCTCCGCCCGCCGGCTCTCCGCGGCCCCTCAGGTGCGCTGAGCGGGGCGGTGCTCCCCTCGTTCTCCGGCCCGGCCGCCGCAGCTGCACGGCGGGCCTGTCACGTGGGGCGGTGGCGCTGCTGCTGCGGTCTATCCTCCTCCACCTGCCCCGGAGAGCGGAGCGTGACCCGGCCATGGGGCTGCAGCGGCGGCTGGTGCCACTCCCGGCCCCGCGGCGGGCGGGCCGCGCCGCAGGTTCTCGCGGCTCGGCGTAGAGGAGAGGCGGGCGCGGAGCTGCCGCGGATCCCCCCCACCTCACGGTGAAGGGCAAGCAGCGGCGGCGACCCGCCATGGAGAAAGCATCGGCCGCGGAGCTCCGGCAGGGCGCGCTGGTGCCGCTTACCGCCATCTGCCTGGGTGAGTGCCGGCCGCCCGCTCCCCTGCGGCGGGGCATGTCCGGGCATGGCTGGGGGGGGGGGGGGGAATACCTGCGGCCGTGCGGGAAGTTACCGGGGTGGGGGAACGGGACGGGACGGCGAACCCCTCATTTCCCTCTTCGCTTTCAGACAGACGGGGCTGGCGCGGCCGCGGGTTATTCAGGGCGCCCTGCTCGCTGTCCCCGGCAGTGGGGAGGCCGAACGGAGCCCTGCGGAAACCAGCGGCTTGCCCCTGGCTTTGAAACGGCGGCGGCAACCCCGCACAGCACTGGGAAAAAAAAGTTTATAAGGCATCATCGGTGCCCTCCCCTGGCTGTAACTCTGCGAGGAGCGGTGCGGGCAGCGGCTCCCGGCCCGTTCCGAGCCGCCTTCTCGGCCGCGCTGCTCGCCTGCCTGTCACTTCTCTGAGTGGCAGGGTGGAAAACATCACACACCCACCCCAGTTCTCTGCCATAGTCTGTTTTCCTCCCTTCCTTCTGCTTGAAGCGATCGCTCCCAGCTCTGCTTCCCAGCAGGTGCTAAGTTATGGCAACGTGATGAAGCGTGTTACTGGTTTCCAGTCTGTCAGCCCTTCCTGTTAAGGAAGATTGTTTTTGTTCGGGGAAGCGATGGCAAGAAAAAGTGAGAGAAAGGCCCCACATATTTAACAGGGGCACGTAGAGATGGGGAGTTACTAAAGCTGAGTGCTTCATTCTGTGTGCACTGACGGGTTCTGGTGCTGCAGCATTCTCCAGTGCTGGTGCTGTGCTTAACTGTCCTGACAGTTGTTTGGTAAACTGCGACAGCTCCTCGAACTAGAATGTGCTGAAACCACAGCTATATGCTAATAAAGTGGATTAGAGTTCATTTTTAACAATCCCAAATGACAGTTACTGTTTGTTCCAGAAATCATCAGAAATGGGTATCTGTGGCCAGACTGCTTGTTCTATTTTTGTAGAAGTGGATTTTTTTTATAACATCATTGCTTGCCTAGAAAATGTAGGAAGTTGAAGTTTGAAAGCTGCTCTGGTTACTTGAAGTGTATCTATTTTAATTAACGGAAGTGCAGTGTAAAAAGCTATCTAAACTACAAAACAGTTTGAACATCCGTTCTAGCTAGTGCGACTGTTTTCTTGCAGGCTCTTAAAGGGATGTCAGAGATGTGCACAGCATGAGAATAATGTCTGCTGAGTTGCCGGTTTAAATTTAGGCAAGTTTCTGCCCTATCTCTTACTTTTTTTCTTTGCCATATCTCTTACTTTTTTTCTTTGTCGTCTGGTCAGACCTTTGTTAAAGCTTTTGTTATCTAACAGAAATAGAATGGTTATTGTTAAAAGGTCTAATAAGATAATAAAAGATTATGTAAACTCCAGAGTTTAAGTGAGAACAGTTCTTGTATTTAGCTGTGGGTAATACCAGATTGAAAGTTTAGTAGATTTCTGCTTTCTATGACTCCCAGAATTTCACTGTCTGGCTGTCATTTTCAGCTGTAATGTCTCCTATGCCTTGCACAGCTGATATTAGTGGAAGTGGAGAAACATGGGAAGTGCCAAGCTTGTAAAGTATTCTGGTTCAGTGAACCCATAGGAAAGTAATGTTTCTGCTTCTTTAAGGGATTTTGTATTTTACTTCCTGCTTGTCTGTCCTTTCCTTTCATCCTTACTCCTGTTTCTTGCTCCTTGCCATTCTTTCCTTTTACTTTTTGCTCTCCTGTGGGTTGTATGTGGTGTTTGGTGTCTGTATCGGTGCATTGCCACTGACCATTGCTATATGTGACCTTGTCCATAAACTCCTGCTCCAGAGTCTGGAACTGTTCTTGCAACTGTTCTGTCATGAGGCCATTTTGTTTCTCGTTCTTGAGAAACTGTGGAGGACATCAAATAGGAAGTAATCAAAACAGTGTAGCTGTTGCCTCTCCTGGCTGTGGGAAAAGCCTGGTAGCTGTCATCTGGTTCGGATGTGCCAAGATGTAAATTTCCCTTTAGATCCAAATAACTGCTTTCCCAGCTGAAAACCTCACCCTGAGAATTATTTAGCAATCCAAATGAATGGCACAGTAAGTTCCCTAAGGGGAGTTCAAGTCGACTGAACCACTTCTGTTTTTTTTCTGACTCCCATAAGTCTGCCCAACAGTTAAGAAAAAGAGCATCTAGCAGACTTCCTAGTATACCTCTGGTCTCTCACTTATTTGTATTTTCATGAGATTTTGTTTTGGTAAGAGACAACCCAGGAGGGAGTGGCTGGGCATTCTTTTGGGCCTCTGACACTTCTGAGAGCTGAGTACTTTAGAAAATACTGGTTTACAGCACTCTTGTTTGATTTGATGGTCTTGAGTGAGACCAAGAGTGAGGAAAACAGATACTGGAAACCGTGAGCTTATTCAGTGGCTGGGAAAGTACTTGTTGTGAAACCTTGACTGTTTAAAGAGTGTTCTTGACTGCTGACTTCCTAGTGTGAAAGACTTCGAAAATGAGAGCAAATAACTTGCAACAGCAGCCAGAAGATGTTTTGCATTTGCAGAGGTAAAAGAGCATCTTTGGGGTTGTCTTCCTCAGATATCTGCCAGGCCTGGCGTGCAAAGCTGCGTCTAACTGTCCTTCTGGTTGCAAACTAGGGCTGCCTGACACAGTCCTGAGGAAAAAAGGAATGTGCTTCTGAGCTGGCCAATTCCACTCTATCATGCCTCTTGTCTTCATGCTACTTATGTCCATTTAAAGGTCATAGGGGCCCCTCATCAGCAATGCAAGGGAACCTCTGCTTGGCCTCTCATGTTCTGTTGCTGCCATCAGGAAGATTTGGATGGGAAACATGAGGAAAGATTGTAAAATGGTTGTACACACCCAGATGTTTCTGTACAGTGCATCTTAAAACACCTCTTTCAGTTGTGGTGGTAACAGTTACACAGAGAATATTCATGTACTTTCTTTGGAGCAGAACAGAATCTTTAGTTTTCATAAAAAGAAATGTGTAACTTAATCACTGGTTAATTTCTTCTTATGGTTATATTACTATCGTTACAGGAATAACGGCACTTTAATACCATGTGGGACAATGTTGTATCATTGTTGCTACTGTGTTCCAAGGCTTGTCACAAACAGACGCAGTACTCTGTCACAGAGCAAGGGTTAACAGAGCCTAACAGTTTCCTGGTGCAGGATGGTAGTGTTACTCCTAGGTGTGCTTACTGAACTATTGGAACAGGATGGCACTGTGAAACAAAGGAAATCATTACATGGCATGTTGTTATTGCCATATAACAAATGTCACTGTACATTAATTATGTAATAAAATCAGTGCTGTTAAGGTCCTTTGAACAGTGTGTTAATGCTTATTAACAGAAGGCTGCAGCTCACATGGGTTTCTTCTCAAGCCACATCTAATATACACTGCTCCTTCCCTTGTGCATTACTAAGAGCTCAACCCTGCAACCACTTAGAAGGAGTAAGGAGTCGCTGCCTTTGTCCTTGTTCTGAAGCCCTGTAACAATGGGTGATGCCAGGAGCAGCATTCTCCCTGGTTTGCAGGTCCTGGCCTCAGCCCAAGGTCCGTTGCAGTTTGTGTGCCTGCTGAAATCGCTGTCTGCATTTAGCTCTTGGAGCTCTGGCTTCAGGAAGGAGAAAGTCCAAACTGGACATCCAGACATAAGTCAGGAAAGAACTGCTATAGGCACCTGGGCTGCTGCAGTTTGGAGATAATTCACATCCACTACTGACTGAAAACCATGACTGGTTTGTCAAACTGGCAAGCTAAGGGGTTGTTTTTAGCTTTTCCTTTTTCACCCCTTTAGTGGTAGGTACTTTTTTCGTCTTGTGCTGGTTTAAGTTATACCAGAAGGTGGTCGGGGCAAGGGTCATTGTTTCAGGATGTGTTTGGACAGTGTCGAAGACAATGGGGGCCCCCCGGCTCCTACATGCTACTCTGAGACATAAATAGTGTTAATTGGCAGCAGCTTCCCAAGTGACTGTGGGGAACAGGGACGGTTTCTCTTCCTCTCTTCTCCTATTGTTCATTTTTTTATGATGTTTTTTACTAAATACTGGCCAACAGATCGACTGTAAAAAGACTCAGGACTTAACACATGCAAAATAAAGCCAAAGTGGTATGGAATGTTGTAAATTAAGTTTTGGTAACCTTTTAAACCTTTCTAGTTCTTTTAAACATTTGTCATTTCATTAATAGGCTGTCTTTGTAGATTATAGAACAGTGCTAAAATAAGAGCAATTAGTGGAATATGCTGTAGTTGTTAGAGAAGTGACTTAAAGAATCTTAGTGGAAGCTAATATGAAACTACGTGTTAACGCTGACCTCTGTGCAACAGTGACACAGGAGAAATTTTGTTTTGGCGGTTACTACTCTTGCCAGATCACTCTAATAGTATATACTGTGAGGGGAGACTTCTGAGAAAGTGGAGAATATTTGGAAACTAATTTGTAAGTCAGATGTGTGTTGCAAGCACCAGCTCATCCTGTTTTGATTTTACCAGTGGACCTTTTTGAAAGCTTCATTGCCTTTGAGTAGTCAAAGTAATCACGTTAGTTTTAGCAGTTCATTTTCAAGGTGACATTCACCTGAGAGGAACAAACTTTGCTTTATTCAGAGAAGATGTATTTAAAGATAATAATCTCATTAATTATGTTCCAGCATTTAAGAGGTGAAGTGACTAGCTGTGATGATGAATGTTTCAGTGTAATTGTTCTTGTGTCTTCCCCAATTAGAAAAATCCCATGGAATAGATCAGCAGTTGTTTCTTTTGGTAGCATATTTGACAGATACTAAACAAATATTGTGTGTTGATTTTTTATTTTTTATTTTTAATAGCTGAAGTGAAGGATAATTACATGTAGTTGATTACATGACTTGCCTGTGTAGATAAGCAAAGTTCTTGCTGGAAGACTGCAATACATTTATAGTAATACCCCAGCAAACACCTAGAACTGTATCATTGCTGACTGCCGCCCTGTACTGCTGGAACCTGTCTGAACATTATTTTTCTGTCTTTACACAGTGAATTTATTCCTGACTGGGAAAACAGAAAGTGCTGTTACCTCGTTAGGTAAGAAATACTTTATTTGTATTTACTGTTCTTTTGAGTTGTTACTGTTTCTTCCCCATGCAAAATTCACTGTTTAACGAAACAGTGTGACGTTTGCCATATGAGAGAGAGTAACAGAGATGTTTTAGGAAGTTTAGAACTTTTAAGTCTGCGTAGGGTTATAGACTTCATCGATGTCACTGTGCTAGAAAAATAAAAGTCACAAGCTTGAGTCTAAGGTCGTAGCATGTGCTGATATATTCAGGGAAAACTGTTTAGGCATTGTGCCTGGGAATATCAAGCAAGGGACAGTGGCCCATTCCTGGAGGAGCAAAACCAAGGATGTTAAAAATGTCTCATGAATGTCAAAGTGGAAATTCAACCAGAATTGCAGCACTTAGTGTCATTTCCTTCTCTATAGCAGTACTGTGACTTGCTGACATTACAGGAACATTACAATCAGGTTCCTCTTGGTGATAAGGGCCCTCTTGTGCCTGTCAATCCAGTCTCGTTGGTAAGCATACTTTATGCCCAGAGAGGCTGCAGGTTAAATTAAACCAGAAAAAACAAATAAGGGAAACAGGAGGAAAGGATATGGGAAAACACAAGAATAATTCTAAGGCAGTGGGTTGATTAATGTGGGAGCTTGAGCATTCAAGTCAACATGGGGGCCTGAGAGAAGGCTTAAATCAGGAAAATGTAGTAATTTTTTGATTAAGTAACTTCCTTACATTTAGTTTAGGGGAAATGTGGATGAACCATGTAGGACATGGGTTGTTTGTAACATAGTATTTCCATTCTTTCATTGTTAAAAATGCAGAATGTCTTCCATGTCCCAGCCTGTTCTGCGTGGATGCTTCTATGTCTTTTGATGGCATTTGGCACCCATTGGCCGTATGGCATGTTAGTTTACAAAGCATAAATTAAGTAATTATACAGTGGCTGGTCTAGACTGGTGGTACTGCCTCTGTCTGAAATATGTAATAATTCATCCAGTTGGCTCTGCTGCCTTCTAATGCTGTTCTTTTGCTAGAAGCGGGGAGTTGTAACATTTGGCTTTTATTCTTTCAAGTATGAGGAAGTCCTCAGTGTACTCCAGCCTTCATGTTTTTTTCTTGATACAGTTTTGAATTACTTTGTCTCCTGACAGTGTAACTGGAGCCGGGGGGGGGGTGGGTGGGAGAAAAATGATTGTAAAATGTTTGCAATAGTGTGATCCATGTGAAGCTTCTCTTGCCTGTGCCTTGAAGGATAACAGGTTAGGATAGTGCAGTTGAAAGGCAGATGACCCTGCCTTGCAGGAGATGTTCCTTAGGAGCCCTGATAAAAGTTGGGAGGACTGCTTCTATCCTAACCACATCCTGACAAAGCAGCCTATTACAGGTGATCTTTATGAGATCAGAGGTAAAGAGCAGTTTCTTTTCAGAAAGCGAATAGCAGAAATAAGGACTTCTGAAGAGCACAAGTCAAGCCACCGCCTTGGCTGTATTTGTACAACACCTTTAAGCTAGAAAAGCTGCTGCTGCTGCCAGTGAGCAGTCCTCCCACTGAGCCCCCTCTCCCCAGGCTCACAGTGAGCCAGTTCAGTGTGTTGGTCCAGTGGAGCGTGAGCTCAGGTTTTGTCAGATCAGTGGGTTGAACCATTGAACTGTTGGGCTGTGCCTTTGCTGGTTCTGTCGATCGGGGCAGAAGCAGCCTGCTGGAGACTGGATGAAGGGATGAAGTGGAGGGGAGCCTTAAATGCTTTTTTTTTTTTTTTTTCACTGTTGTAAGGGATCTGCATTAAGCAACTTGTACAAGCTCTCCTTGAGGGAGGATTTGGAGAACTCAGAATTTCCTGCTGACCCTGAGATAGCTACTTGAGGAAGTGTGTATCACCAAGCGTTCAGTTGTGAGGGAAGGTTCCTTGTGGCAGGTGCAGACCGTCCTTTATCCTGGAGCAGATGGTTAGCATTGTGTCCTGTGGGACTTGGGCAGACCCTGGGGCAGAAGAGTGTGAAACTGCAGGATTTATTTTTTGCTGGGGTCGTGTGAAAATGTATTCCTGCACAGCTTAGTGCCCCAGCACTGTCCTGTGCTGGAGCCCAGCGTCTGTTCTGTTATAGTTGCTTTTGTGAAAATAGGAGCAATCTTATTCACGTAAAGTTTTGGAAACTTTCAAGTATATTTGTGACATATATATTTGTATTTAACCAGCAGGGGGAATCTACTGCTGTTTACAGTAGAAATCCATTTGATTATTACAAAAAAAGCCTTATTAAGATTTGTGCCTGCTTGACAGGAACTCTGAGCTGAAACCTCTTCTGGCATTTGTTTGAAGTTTGGCTTTTTTTAATCTATAAAAATTCATTATTATCTGTCTTCAGAATTCATCTTTTTTTAAAGGCACTATTTTGGTGAGATTTTTGGTGGGTTGGTTTGCCCAACCATTCTGTTTCTTCAGTAATCCTAAATGTGGAAACCAAACCATTTGAGGCTTTTAGTAAATTGGGTTTTCACTTCTGGGTTTGTGCAGAAAGGCTGAAGAAATATATTCAGAGAACAATTGTTGAAAAAATGTTGTCACCACTCCTGTGAGCTGTCCCTGATGAATCCAGGACCGTGCCTTTCTATTTAGAGACTTCCCTTTCCTTTAGATGTTTTGGCAATTTGAAAAGGCTTTTGTTTATTTTCCTGAAGGATTCACGGTGTCATCCTGAAGCCCAGCTTAGTAACACAGTACTTACGTATGTGATTCTGCAGACTTCATGGCCTGGAGCTGAGGAGGGAAGTGAGGCTGCTTTACTGCCACTGAAACCCCAGCAGTATGCACTGTGCCCTTGTGTGGTTTTTCTGTTTTGTTGCCAGCACTGATGGCTCTGTTCAGTACAGGTTTTTCATGAAAATGTTTGTAGGTGGAGGAACAGCTGCTGAAAGTGGTGCTTGGGCACTTCACCTTGTCTGCCACACAGCAGTCAGCGTACAGGGGGTAGAGGCAGGCGGCTGGTTAAGAAAGAGATCTACTCATACATTTTAAGTCCTGTAGTTATGAGCATTGGTGGGAAATGCACCAGAAGCATAGGGCAGCTAAGTGAGGTTTGGGTAAGCATAGTAGTAGTTTTGGGGGGTGATGGGTGTATGCCCTCAGTTCACTTCAAGAGGTTTAGGGGACTGTGGACCTATCCTTTAAAATAGTGGAATTATGTTTTGGCAGTATGAATTCAGATTAGATGTTCATTCAAATCAAGAGCCTTTGTAAGAGCAAAGCAGCTGTGCTTTTAATTTTGAGTAGGGCAAGTAGGAAATGCTTGTTTTATGTCAGAGGGGCAAAACCATTGAACAGCAATGACCACTGTCAGATGAACTGCCCAAAATGGCGTGTAGTATTAGCCCTTATTTTGCTTATGTCCTTAGGTTTTCACAGCTACAGTTCTTCTGTTGAAATGGGAAGTCTTTCATCTGTTCTTCTTCTCGTATCCCATGTTTGTAGCAGGTGTGCAGTGCTATTAAGTAAAAGCATTTCTGAGAACCTGAACTGTCATGTTACATCAGATCCCGCTTACCAATTAGAAAACTGTGCATTATTGCAAAACAAAAACCGCTAGTAATCTTACTTAAAAAAAAAAAAAAAAGAAAAGGTGGGATACTTCAAATAACTGCTGCTCAGGATCTTTGTAAGTACTTCTTAAAATGGAGAAGCAGATATTTGGGAGAATAATAGCTCTGCCTAACTGCACTGATGAATGCGGGACTGAAGTGCTCATGTGGAGTCACCAGGAGGTCAGTGGGACTTCTTCAGAATGGAAACCAAGATAAGCTTGGTATTAATTATGATTCTATTCTAATGCATATACTATGAATAAGGGATGTTAATCCAGCACACAGTTTGGTACAAGGGAACAGAAGTATTTGCAGAGCTGCTGCTGGAAGCCTCTGGAAAGTGCTGTCTGGTGTATTTGCTCTTTCTTCTTTGTGCATTTTGTTTCCTTCCCATTGAGAAGTTTTAGTAATCTGGCAGTTACCAAATACGGTCTTTCTGGCTCCTTTCATATGGTTGCTAGCTCCAGCTTGTCTTACGCTGCTGTGATAACGCTGATGCAGTGACAAGTGTGCAGAAGGGCACATTTATAGACCTGAACAAACTGAAGAAGATAGTTAAAAAGTCCTGTTGATCTTCCATTTGTTTTTATATTTCTGTAACTGCATCTGCATCTCAGTATTTTTCCACTAGCAATGTGATAAAAAAGTTGTTTTTTTTCATAACTGCTTTACTGCAAAATATTTGCTTGGAGAAGGGATGTTTTCCTGTATTTGTGTATTCTGTATGCTTTTGTGGCCTTTGAAACTAGTAGGAATTATATGCATATGTTCAGTGGAATGCCTTAGTTGGAGAGTAAAAATAATGGCTTTTTTTATGTTTTGCCTCAGGTAAGTTACTCACCTCCTGCTTTTTATATTCCTGTGGCTCTCGCTTCAAAAGCGCTTGCTGTGAACAAACATAGTGCCAGGCATGGATTTACTGGTGGGGGTATACTGCAGCTTGGCCTGTCCCCAGCCAGGAGCTCTGCAGGCAGCCCTGCCACCTGACCCGATTGCAGCCAGGCAGCCTTGCCAGCACTTCTCACCCCAGCCCTCCAGTGCAGCTGAGTCTGATCCGTTCTGTGAGTTGAAAATGATGCATTTATGTGGCTGAATTTCAAGCAATACTGAAAATCTGTGATTTATGATGCAGTACCTTTCAGTGCACGTGTATGGGAGGTATAGGCAGCCCAGCTTTTTTTTTCCTTGCTGCCTTTTTAAGCTATGAGAAAGTAAGCTTCTGTCAAAAATTGGAATATTCAGCTGCAGTCCACAAGTCATGCTCTAGATAGTAGTTTGTTTTAAAAATAGTTTTGGAGAATGTTCAGAATAGCCACTGCATTACAGAGAGTTTCCCCTCTTGTAGTCTGCAGAGAGTACATTTTCCCATCACAACGGCTTTCCCACTTGTCCTTGGAACATTTTACTTTCATTTTTGAATTGCTTAATTACAAATTGCAACTATTTAATGTAGTTTTAATTAGCCTGCTGTTTTCCATAGGAAGAACTGAAAGTGCTTTGGAAATACTGAGCTTTATTTAGCCCTGTTTGCTCCTTTGTCTGGAAAATTTCTCCTATTTATGGGAATTGAGAAGGAATTTAGCGTCTCAGTAACGTTCAATGAAAACATTTGACATCAGAATCCAGTTTGCCTTTTTGTTGGGCCATTTTTTTTAATTTTTTTTTTTTTTTAAGCCATTACAAACTCTTCAGGTCTGTCATATGGTGAGGAGAATAAATATGTCCAGGAGCAGGTTACAATAAAATGAGCATCTAGACAGTTTACATTGAATATGGATCTTCTGCAGTTGCTGGGTGACATACCCAGCCTTTGGGAAGCTGGTAAGAAGGATTTCTGTATTACGTCCTCGTGACAGATCTGTGCAGTAAAATTGATTGTAGCCTGTGGTAGATTCATACAAGGTTATTGATTGATCCTGCATTGAAATGCAGGTTACACTTACCTACACTTAGAGGGGGTGCTTTAATTAAGAACCAGGGCAGGGAAGAAAGCAGTAAGAGGGTAAAACTGTTGACTCTCACTTGTCTGCAATCCCCAGAAACTGATGAAAGCTCTTCTAGCTAATGTGAGTTGTTGTTAACAGTAATACTTTTTTTTCCCACTTATTAACAGCTGCTTGCAGTGGAAAACTGGAACAGCACACAGAGAGACGGGGAGTTATCTATAGTCCTTCTTGGCCATTGAACTATCCTCCAGCTGTAAACTGCAGCTGGTTCATTCAAGGAGATCACGGAGACATGATAACAATTAGGTATGGCTTCATGTTATGCGGAGGTAAATGTTTTCTTTGCTGAAGTGAAACAAAATGCGAGTTCTTACCTGATATACTGGTATGAGACTGTCAGAGCTACTGGATGGTCAAAGGAAGCTGAAGTTGATTACACTGAAGCATGACTGCAGGCTGGGCACCTCTCATTTTAAAAATGTTCCACTGTGTCTTATTCCTGTAGGCTACTTTTGACATCCATTATTATACACACAAATCACTTGTAGACTTTTAATGTATTTATCTTCACTATACCTGTGTGAGATTTCATCCACCTCTGATAGATGAGGGGGTGGGAAGCAGTGATACATTTACTCAGGTTAAATAGACCTTTTTCTCTTCATTGCTTATAGATAGGAATAGGTGAAGGCTATAAAACCTGGAACAGCCTCAGTGGGATCTGTAAAATTCTTAGAGAAAAAAATGGCTTTTTCTGTAATGTCTTGAAATGGTGCTCAGTTTAATGGGCAGTTGAAGATAGTCATTGCCTGGTGTTACTTGTTAACCAAAAGACACATGCTTTTCTGCTTAATATTTATTTCCAACAGAATTAAATAATAGCATTTGTGGTACAATTTCAGCTCATTCTGTAAAAATACTTTTTAGAAAAGACTAGAACATATTATAAATGGTTTCTTAAGAATGTTTAGGCTATAATGTCAGCGTAGCACATATGTGTTTAATTTCTCTGTGCTAATCCTAATATCCTTCTCCAACCAAGAATTTCGTATTCAAAAAAAAAAAAAAAAAGAAAAATAAGCAAACCCAGGAAAGGGGGTTTTGTTTGGTTTTTGGTACTGTTGTATTTGACACCATCTGCTCATTCTTTGCTCAGCTGCTTAAAAGGACTTCAAACCTCTTCAACTGCAGATGCTCAGCAATTAAAAATAAATCTGCCACAGATGGAATAATAGGAGGGCTCCACCATCCATAGTTCAAAATAGGAGCTACTCATCAGAAGTAATGAAGTAGATACCTGCCAGCATTTGAGATCCATAAATAGCAACATGCTTTTAAACCCCATTAAATTGTATTGGACTTGGGGAATTTGTTTCAAAGCAGAGATTATTGGAAACTGAGAAAGCATACAGATGAGACACAGGACTTGACCTGGAGAGTAGTACTGCAGTTTATGCTAAGAAAATGTTTCAAAGCTCCCTGGTAGAATTAGGATTCTCTTCTGGAAGTACAAGTGTAACAGAGGCTAAAGAGACTGAGATGCGGAAACTGGTAATAATGTGTGTGTAGTTTAGATGTGTGCGTAGCAATATGACTTGAAAGATTTCTTCTTAATGGGTTTGTGTTCTGTCACTGGATAAAGGACCACCTCCTGCCCTCCTGTGCAGGTGCAAACAATGGGGGCTGTGTGTTTACATCTTGGGGAGTAGTGTTGTGGTGTTACATTTCTGATGGTAAATGTACTAGGAATTAGTCACTCCAGTGTATGAAATGCAAAATGTTACAGCATCTGAGGATTTCTTTAGAAGGTTGTACTCAGAATGCCAAGGACATAAAAGAAACAGCTGACTTACCTAGGCAAACTGGGAAAAAAGGGCTCAAATACAAACATCTTTTTCTCTTTAACTGTTGGGTATGCTTGTCCTAACAGTTTGTTGATAAGGACGTAAGAGTAGCCTTTTAAATTTTCCTAGGAAAATCAAACACAGCTCTTGTGATAACATCTGGATTTTGAAAGGTTTTTTTTTAAAACTCACCACCTCTTTTGTGTTATGTTACACTGAATACTTTTCCTTTGATCTTGAGTTCTCATTGACACTAAGACAGCAACATTATATAAGTATCATATTTGAGATACAGCAGGAGTCATTGTGGGATAAAATTGCAGTTGAAAGTAGTTTTGATTTCTAAAACATCTGCAGTTGGTGGTCATTTTTTATAAATCTGTTCATCAGCTTTAATAGAACAGTGTCCAGATCTACATGTGGATATAAGATGCTGGCTTCTGTGGGCATGGCCTTTAGAAGCTTTGTCTGCTTTTTTTTTTTGTGTGTGTGTGTGTGTGTGTGTGTGTGTGTATTGATTTTTCTTCATATTCTCTTATTTCTGTGCTTATTGTTTTGCTTTATAGTTTTCTTTTTAGAAATCCTTGGGGGGTGGGACTTCACAAGAACAGGAAATACTTGTTCTTTGTGCTTATGCCTCTTTGTTAATTATGCACATTTCAATACTTTCTTCAAGTTTGTGTGTCTGATGGAATGGTGCTATTGGTTCCTGGGAGCAAGAGTGTAGCCACTGTCTTCCAGGACTCTGTTGTATCTCTTTAAATTCAGGTAATCAGTCTGTTAGTTATTGTTTTGGAAATGACTTGATTTTCCCACCTGTTTTCTCTGTCTTCATGCTTGTTTTTCACAGAGGACTACATAACCCCTCAAATAAAGATGTCATATGCAGTAACTGCCTTTGTACCATCCTTTACAGGTTTTATATATGTATTCCTCATATCTGAGAAAAAGGTTAAAAATAATTTTTGTTCAGCAGTTGCTGTTACCTGATGGTTGTAATTAACCCCAATGATGGCAGAGCATAAATGATTTGCGTTTTAATGTAGGCATTTATGGGGCTGAGATTGAAATGTTCTCCATGCTCAGAATTTAAGACAACAGTATTGAAAAGTGATCTACTTAGTGACCCACTCAGGCTGTCTCTTATTAATTGAGGTATGGAGGATCACCTTCATTGGCTTTCACTTCAGTGATTCATGGCATTGGCTTTGAAAAAAGGAATTGTCAGATACCATCTGAATTTCAATTTCTGAGTAGAACTGAGGTCTGTTCTTGTAAAGGCTTGCTGGTCTGTAATTGTGTGAAGAATTGAAGGGACTGCTTCATAGTCTATTTACCAAACTCACAGTATTTCAGAACTTGACATTAATTGGAAAAAGCTTATAATAGCCATTTATTTCATTCAGTTGCATGGCTGAGCCTTTGATGAAACAGCCCCTGTGTCTCTTGCCTCAGGTTCCACATTTTGCTGGTGCTTGGGAGCTGGGAATAAAATAGAGCTTTCCTGACTTCCAGGTCCTTGTGCTTCAGTGGTTAAGTAGCAGTTTTTAATGAGCTAATTAAGTCATCAGTTGTTCACAGGCTGCACTTGCTGTGAGGGGTTGGCAAATAGAAGTAACTTTTCTCGTTTAATTGGGCAGTCTGTTTTATTTTGGGACTGTGCTCTACTGATCCACCCATAATACTTGTTCTCCAGTTAAATTATTTTAGAGCAAACCACAGATTTGGAGATTTGTTTTTTTTTTAATTTTATTTTTATTTATTATTATTTATTTGCTAATTACTTTCATTCAGATCTTATATCCCATATTTATCCTTTTTCCATTTATTAAGAATGATTTTTTTTTTTTTTTGCTTGAATCTGTAGTTGCTTGTGCTTAAAGTACTAAAAGGGTTGTAGGGAATTCAGATGGCAGAAAGCTCTGCTACGCATTAGTGTTGCAGGTAGCACATTTTTTTCATATTTAGAGTGTTAATGTGTATTTATGATAATCTGGTTTAATAAAGCTCTTTGCAGCAACATAAAAATACTTGTCAGTTGGTGGAAAAATGTCATTGTTGGCACCTGTTGCTTCACTTGAGTAAACCAGGCAGTATCTGATATAAATAGGGTTGATCCTGTAGTTTTCTGTTAAGCTTCTGGAGCCCTGATGAGGTAACCTTTCCTTGGTGTCATACCACTGAAAGAAAAGATCAGATTATTTTACTGATTTCTGCAGAATTCTGTAAAAAACAACGTAGTGCTGCATTTGTCAGTTCACATCGAGTTGTTCTGATCCTTGGAGCCTGAATGCTTCCAGTGTTTAATAAACTATTCTTATACTTTTTTATAACGTTAGGAGACTTTTAAAAGGAATTAGTTGTGGAAAAGGCATTCCAAAAGCAAGATAACTGAAGTTAGTGCTTTTGAATAGCATCTGTCAGAAAAAACAAAATCTGCAAAATTTGGTCTGATAATTTTGATCTTTTACACATCTCCTCGATTCCTGTATTGTGTTGGAGATCCACAGTGAGAATAGCCTAAGGACCAAAGTCTTTCAAAGGATGTTCTGTGTGTTAGTGATGGGTGTTGTGCTTGTTAATATTGCAGTTCTAAGTGCTCAATATACCAGTGTACCACTGCAGCTTGCATGGTAGGGTGGACCTCTGGGTCCATATTGCACTCCTTCAGAGCTCTTTGCTGGAGGGGGTTAGTGACTGAACGGTCCCATCTTTTGCTTCTCCTTCCAAACCCTGTGTTTCCCTGCCCAAGATGTTTAAAAATACTGCAGTACTGACTGTTGCTGTGTGAGATTTTGGTGACGTTATCCACTAGTACTCTCTGTTTCAGCATGTCTTGATTCTGATTCTTGTTTTAATCACAGAAAATTATGTGGATTCAGGATACAAATGGTCTGAGACCTCTCTCAAGAACCATGACTGTAGACAGTACTTTTCCAAAAACTGTAAGATACTTGTACAGTTCTACAAGCAGTAGGAGCACAAGAATTTGTCCCTCATTTCCACAGTATGCCCTCACTCATTCAAACCACTGGACTAATGCCTTTGGTAGAAAAATTTGCATTTCAGTTTGAGGATGTTCAGCTGAGTAAGTAAATGTATCTGTGTTCTATTTTGTGGGTAGCAGGATTAAATTATTCTTCAGAAGACTGTAACAGCAGCCATGCTGGATGTAATTACAGCTAATGAAAGATCTGAAGTAGCAAAGGTTGAATGCACTCTTCAGGACTCTTGAGTAAAATAATCAGTGAGCTGTTTCATGTCAGATTAGTATAGCAGAAATTTCTGACACAAAACCTCGTTTTTGCAAATGCATTATAAAGCAAATACCAATTTTATGTATTTATACATTCACACATATGTATTCATGTTGTTTCATGTTGCTTCATAGAAGAATGATTTTTGTGGTGAGGTTGGTTGATGGCTCATTCAAATGATGGCTTTTGGCCTTGTGTAAGATCACCATCAATTTAAATGGGGAAAAGTTTGCTCCCCGTGAAGACAATATAACTTAAAAAGATGCTGGAGTAGAGTGACAGTGCCTTAATGAAAGCCAAATTTGTTCAAAATATGTCTGCTGATGAGTTTGTATGAGGTAGTTCATAACTGCTTTGACTTTGCTCTTGCCTTTAGAAGAAGAAATTTTGTAACTGCTACAGTTTCTATTCTACATCAGAAATAGAACATCTGTATTTCAGAGAAATGGTGTTTATTCAATGCTGTTTGAAACTCCTAAGCACCTGGGAGTAAGATGTTTATTGTTTTTGAAAAAGAGGTTGTTCTTGTGAATGTTCTGTATTGCCCTTTTTCAAATACCAAAGCATTTGTGTCAGTAGCTTGAGCATCCCTGAGAGGCATGGTGTTTTCAGGGAGGCTGTTAAAGATGATACTTCCTTGCAAGTCTATTTTGCCTCATTACCCATGTACTCAGTTGGCTTTGTGGCTAAAGCTTGAATTTCTTAGTGGAGAAGTGTGGGATTCGCTCTGAATCTATTTCAGATCCACAAGCCGATGCTCAGGAAAAGCAGTTATCCTCTGTACGCCTGTGCTTCTGCTTTGGAAGGTGGGATTAAAGTTTGTTGCTTTTCTGTACCCTCTATAATAAACAAAAGAAACCCCAACCAACCAAAGCACCCTTTATTAACAATCTTCAATACTGCATTCTCAAGGTGAAAGTGAAAAGTGTTTGTTTATTTGTTTGTTTCCTTGAAAGAAATACATTTTAATGTAAGGTAGAGACAGCTTATTATATAGGCAGATTTTCCCCTGGGTGTGTGCAGTCTGTTGTGTAACCACACTGTGGGTGAATTATTTACTTGATAGACATAAGTAGCTGTTCTCAGCAGAGTGGGGAAAATGAGTGGCTGTGGGACTAGCTGGACTGCTGGAAACTGGATAAAACAGGTGAACACATTTTTAGTGCTTGAAGATTTGTCCCGGTATATCTAAAATAAATATAGAAGTAAGATTTAGTAAATGATCTTGTTTGTATAGCACAAGCAAAAGTTTTTCTGGTCACTCCCTGTGCCCTCCCAGTTCTGAGTTTCCATTTCTTCATTTAGTGACTGTTCCATTTCCTTAAAAAAATGTTGTTGGGCAGATAGGTATTTCTAATACTTATCCCCAAAGTCTGCACAGTCATCTAGAACTTCCTTGCAAAATGCTGGTTTCAGAAGCTTGATGCGATTGCTTCTGTCAAAGAATTAGGTGCTGTGGGAATGTGTCTTCCCAGCTGGGAAGATACATAGAGCATGTGGGAGGAAAAGAGTTTGAAAAGAGAAAGGATGTATTTCTGGGCAGATTGTTGTTGCCTGTACAAATGTTGTCGGACATCTTAATTTCCATTTTAACTTAACACTTTCAGTGCTGTCTTACTTCAAATGCTCTTGCTGATAATTTTGTTTTTGAGAGTTATTAAGCTGCTATGTTTAGCATAACCTAGAGGTGTGTGTAGGCTGGATCTTCTTGAATGAGTTGGCTAGTTTATCTAGTTGCTGCTCTTTCCCTTTCACCTTCAAAGGGCAAGATGTGTCAGGCATTGAAAGCCTTTTGTAAATGCATGGTGATATCGGAAAATGATCTTTTCCAAAGAATTTGTCTTTAATGTTTGTGAAAAGTCCTTTGTGGAAGGAGGTCTGTGTTTTGCAGCAGCTTTTGAACCTTTCTGAAACTTCTGTCTAGGTATTTGCAGTGAGTACACACAAACTTCTGCCAAGTTGATTCTGTGTGGCTGAGTTAGATGAAATAGGACCAAAATTTATTTCTAAGTGTTCTGAACAGTGTGCCTTTTCCTAATGAGTGTGCTTCTCTGTGCAATGCTATTGCCATAGCAGATTACTGAATGCAAATGTAATCTGTTTCATCAGACAACAAATACCATGTATGGTTCCTGAGCTACAGGTTAGGGAGTATTATCTGGTTATGTTCAGTGTTCTGCAAACAATCAAGGCACTTCTTTGCACTAGGTAGGCTATTACTGAATAATCACTGGGCTTGGGCCAGCAGCAAGGGCTGGAGGTTTGATAGTAAATTTTATAGGCTTGTTTGCTCTGCGGTTGCATTCCCAGAAATGGAATATTTTAGTCTTTGATTTAAAAAAAGTAGTGGTGTTAGGATTCAAGTTCCATTTCCACCTGTTGCAGTCCTATTCTCTTCTTGCTCTTTCCCTAGCATGAAGAGTTGATTTTTCTCTTGTATTTATCTCATTAGGGTTCTTTGTACTGCTCCCTATTGTTCTTTTTCCAAGACAGGAGTCTCTCCATAGTTTCATAGTTTTAAGGTTGAAAATATTAATGCTGAAATTAATATGCTTTCTGTATAATGTATTCTGGAATTTTGCTTTTACCCAAATCTGTATTTTAGGAAGCAGTTTTGTTTAAGGACTGAGAAAAGAGGAATCATCCTTTCAGCCTGTGGAGCTACTTGACATGCTGTTTATGCCCATGATATAGGTGCTTGGGGGAATTTAAGTGCTCTGTTTATATGTACTCAAAGTACTACGGGTGTTTCATTATCTTTGAATGTGATGTGTTTATGTCAGCACTGTTTGGTGGAGAAAGTCAGTTGTCACAGCCTGTTTTTCCTGTTTGGCCTTGTTTCAGATACATGTCTTCTTTGTAACTTTGTGTTTTCTTTTGTTCCTTACAGTTTTAAGAACTTTGACTTGGAAGACTCTCAGAAGTGTGCAATGGACTGGTTGATGATCGGCCCATCTTCCAAAAGGGAAGAGTACAAAGTGTGTGGATCTTCCATACCTCCGTCTTTCATCTCTGCAAGGGACCATGTTTGGATATTTTTTCACTCAGATGCAGCAAGCTCAGGACAGGCTCAGGGATTTCGCCTTTCTTACATTAGAGGTAAAAACCTTACAGTTTTATTTGCTTCACTTACACACTCTCTGGCAAAACCTGAAGAGGTAGTGTTTTTTTGTTGACTGGAGTCTTGGGCCAGTTTTGGTGACTGTAAGGTGCTAGCATGGTAACGCTGACACTATATCCACTTGACTTTTTAAGAGTATTCCTGAAGTGTACTGGTCTGGCTGATGAGTTGTGACATGCAGGGTAGTAGATGTGACATCAGATGGTTCCAGAAGTTTTGATGCTGACAATTTTCTCCTTGCCCTCTTTCACAGGAAAGATAGGTCAAGCTGCATGCCAGTCAGATGAATTTCATTGTGCAAATGGCAAGTGTATTCCCAGTACTTGGAAGTGTAATTCCATGGATGAGTGTGGTGATAACTCAGATGAGAGAAACTGCACTGTCCCTCCGACCGAGCCTCCATCCAGCATCTGTCCCTCAGGAATGTTCCAGTGTAGTGCAGCCCATTCCACCAAATGTTTGATGAACGAGCTGAGATGTAATTCAGTAAAGGACTGTAGTGATGGTTCGGATGAAGATAATTGTCCTGATCTTTCCTGTGGCAAAAGACTGGGTAATTTTTATGGATCTTTCGCTTCGCCAGACTTATTCCGTGCTGATCACAGCAGATCAGACCTTCGTTGCACGTGGTATGTGGACACACAGGATAATCGACATGTTCTGTTGCAGCTTGATTTGCAGTTAGGCTACAATGACTATGTAAAAGTGTATGATGGCATCAAAGAGAGAGGTGATAAATTAATGCAAACATTTTCATACCACAACAACAGGCATTCTGTGAGTGTGGAGTCATCAAAGGGCCAGCTCACTGTATCATACCATGCCCGGTCTAAAAGCACCGGGCATGGGTTCAATGCAACCTATCAGGTGAAAGGCTATTGCCTTCCTTGGGAACACCCTTGTGGAAGCGATGAGGAGTGTTTCACAGACAAGCAGCGTTGTGATGGCTGGTGGCACTGTCCAAATGGCAAGGATGAGGAAAACTGTCCTGCTTGCCAGAAGAATGAATACCCATGTGAAGGAAACAGTGGGCTTTGTTACTCGGTACTTGACCGCTGTAATAACCAAAAGAACTGTCCAGATGGCTCAGATGAAAAAAACTGCTTTACTTGCCAGCCAGGAAACTTCCACTGTGGGACAAATCTGTGCATCTTCGAGACTTGGCGCTGCGATGGCCAAGAAGACTGCCAGGACGGAAGCGATGAGCATAACTGCCTGGTGATTGTTCCCAGGAAGGTCATCACAGCTGCTCTGATCGGGAGTCTTGTATGTGGCTTGCTGCTGGTGATAGCACTGGGTTGTGCATTTAAATTGTATTCTCTGAGGACCAGAGAGTACAGGTAAGCATCTTGCTGTGGTGTTTTTTCCGTTTAAAGGAAAAAAAAAGCTAATTGTTAACCAGAGAACTTGGAAAATACTGTGAAATCAATCCAAGGAATTGATGACAATTAAATAGCAGTCACTGCATTAGACATAGAGAAGAGTAGTTTAAGATTTTTGGAAGTAGTGAGGGGAATGTCAGCTCATGTATGATCTATGAGAAATACGCATTTATTATGCAGCCTGGCAGAACCTGCATATAACTTAACATCAAAACTGCTTTGAGTAATTTCCTCTCCCCACTCCTCCCCCTGCAACAAACAGCCCTGCCAAAAACTGAATGCTGAACTGTTGCTAAATCTGAACTGAATAGCCCCTAGCCCCTCCCCAAATACTTTAATACTCAGTTCTTCTAAAGCCATGTCCTGCAGCAGTGCAGCCTATTCTGGACAGGGTTGTTAACTTCCACCATTCCCATTGTTGTGAGCTGTAGTCCCTTTTCCTGCTACTGTATGCTTTGTTATATGGACAGTGTGTGTGTTTCTGTGTCTGCTTGTTACATGTTTGCTCAGGCGTGGTTTTGCCCTTTTGGAGAGAGTCATAAGGGACTTTCTGATGCCCATCTCTTGTCATAGGCAGCAGCTCTGTGCAGTGCTGCTGACACTGGTTGTGTGTTCAGCACAGTGTATTTCACATTCGTTCCTGATAGCATCTGCATGATTAAGGAGCTGGAAAACAGCAGCCATGCTATGTTGGAGACCTGGGTGCCTCAGTTCTGGCAGGACAGCCAAAGCTCTCTGCAGCTGCAAGCTGCCTCTGTTGTGTGATTGTTTCCAGCTCTTAATGTTGGCTTGTCCAAAAATAACCTTTGGGCCCTCCCTGAACACATTACCGCTGTTACTGGTGTAAGCTGGCCAGTTGATACAACTTTGGTTGCCACAGAGTCCAACTTAGGACTGCACTGGTTTGATTCACTGACGTTTATATCCTGTATTTTTACTCCTTTTATTTATTTTATCATCCTGATAAGATTTTCATGAGCCTGGTTGAACATCTGGGGGTTTGCTGCTAGCGTGGCGCCCTGTGCAGTGTTTTTATACATTAATGTGAGAGAGGGAGGACAAACTCGCTGTTACTGCTGTTTCATGTTTTCTCACTGGTTCTATTTCTAGAGCATTTGAGACCCAGATGACACGATTGGAGGCAGAGTTTGTGCGGCGGGAAGCTCCACCTTCCTATGGACAGCTGATTGCACAGGGACTTATCCCCCCAGTTGAGGACTTCCCTGTGTACAATGCATCGCAAGTATGGAGACATGAGTGCCAGTGAACTACCAGCAGCCAAACTACTATGAATTAGATAGACTCAATCTGGAAATGTATTTTTTCAGTAGCTGTGCTCATTATATGGAAGTTACATAAAAATACGTATGTTTTACTTGGAGCTGAAGAAACAGTTACACATCTTGGTGTTGTGGGTAGTTTTGAACACATTAAATGTGTTTGCTAGGGAACAGCAGTGAGATAAGCACATGCTGTTTTGCTGTACATCAAGATAGAATGAATAGAGACAAAGGTCAGAAAGTAAACAGAAAAAAGGCTTTTCAAGCTGAAACTGTAAATGTGCCTGATGCGATAAGAAAGTAAGGTCCCTAGCAGTATTTTGGGGAAATTCTGGGATTATTTTTCATTTACAAAAACATTACACTGGGAAGAATTAAGTCATTCTTCTGTTTTGAGAACTCCGAGTTCTCAAAAATCTCCTTGCCCTGTTGAAAGTGTCCACCTGTGATACAGTTCCTAGTGTGATATAAAGCACTTACAGTTTGTTACTCATGTGGAAAACTATTTTGCCTTGCCCTTTCTTCTCTGCTGTTGTCATCAGGACATCTGTTGAGGATCCTCTGCTATTGCTAATGATAGAGGACTCAGTGGTCTGCAGTCTGTTTTTTTAGTGGTGGTCTGATCATGTGAGTGAAGCATCTTCCTGGGCAGAGCTTAAACTCATGAAGGAAACACTCTAAGGGAGAGTCTTCTAGTATAGGTAGAGCTGTCCTTGATATTCTTACATAGTTCATTAGAAAACTGGCATTTAACAACGAAGTGTGAGGATAAAGTCTGAGAATTCTAGTAAGGTGGAGATACTAGTGGAAAGAACGGGGTTAGGAGAAGTCTTTTGAGTATGTGTGAAATCACAGTTTGTTACGTCTGTTACAGGCTTCTGTGCTGCAGAACATTCGAACAGCCATGAGGAGGCAGATGAGACGACACTCATCAAGACGGAGCTCGTCTCGGCGGCGCTTGGGCAGGCTCTGGAACAGACTTTTCCACAGACCTCGGGTGAGAGGACAGATCCCGCTCCTGACACCTGCCCGCACTTCACAGACTACACTGGGTGATGGAATCATCAATCGCGCTGTTGGGACTATTCGAAGTCCTCCCCCTTCTCCTGAAGGACCTAGTTTAGAGGCAAATGCCCCTGGTCAAGCCAGGTGCCTACAAGAAGCTGTATGTAGCAGCTTGCAGTCAGAGACTGAAAGCACAGAGCCACCGCCTTCAACTGTCTTACTGAATACTTGCACAGCAGCACATGCAGAGCCTGAGGCTGGACGCACTGGTAAACCTTCAGGTGCTGAGACCTCTGGCAGTGAGCTTAAGCAGTCCAGTAAAGGGGATTCAGGAAAGGCTTTCAGAGATCCTTTATCTGAAAGTGTTACAGAAACGATCCATGGAGGGTCAGCATCTAGGAGGACTGTCCGAGAGGACAGTAGTTTAAGTAGAAGTCATCCGCTGAGTGAAGAGCCATGTAGGTTACCCTTAAAAAGATGGGAGTCTGCTTATCCAGACACCCCCATGAATGTTCATATCCAAGTGGATGGACAAAACCGATGTTGCTCTAACTCATACCGGGAGGAGCCTTTGGGGGTTCATGCGGCTTGCTGCCATTCTGTGGAAGTGCCAATGTTAGAGTCCTCTTCTCCCCTCTCTGAAATCAATACCAGTGATGATGAATCTTTACTGGTTTGCTAATAAAAATTTTTAGTTCAGCCCTGTAAATTTTGTAACTTCATTGTTTATATGACAGTGCACTTTGGGGATAGATGGTATGTCCATGCTCTCAACTTTTTCTCTTAAAACCAGTGTGCTTTAATCCTGCAGGGAGTACAGTATGAGACCAAATGAGACAAGTTTTTGTCTTCCTTGCTATTCCTGAAATTCCAGTGGTGCAGAAATAGGCCAGTATGTGATGTCAGGGGCTAGGATAGCAAGAATGTGTCCCTGCAGTTTGGAGGCATTTCCATCCTCTGATAATTCTTCTGTGCATTTACTCACTCTGCGTTCAGGGAGCTAGTGTTTCATTGCTTTTCAAGTGGTCTTACTGAAATTAGAGTGAACTCTTTGGAACCTGGGGCAGGCACTATTGTCAGTCTGAGTACTGAACTAGAAATAACATTGTCTTTTAGACATCACCATTTAAGTAGAAGTTAATAATTTTTAATTACAAATAGTTAGAAGGAAATAAATCCTTTGCAGCTTCCTCTTCACAGAAATTGCAGACTTTCTTTGCTTCTTTCAGAAATGTTTTGATGGTCGTATGTACCTTCAAGCACCTGCTAAAACCAAAGGTTCTATTAGAATACCCAGGATGATATCTGGTGTGTTGCCTGCTAAAGCTTTGCAGGAGAGATTAGCAGGGTTCAGTGTAAGCGGAGAGCAGTGAACCCCAGCTGCAGCGATATTTCTGTTTTGTGTTGTCACGTTAAATTCTCTGTATAATGATGTGAAGTTTGGAGAATTGTTTGCTTTCTCCCAACCTTCTTTTTCCCCTCCTCCTGTCTGTTTCCAGGGACTTTATGATTGCACCACATTGGCGGTGCCCTAAAGGGTGCTGATCCTTCACAGCTCCTGTTGGCTGTAGAAGGAAGCACTGAGCATTTGGTAACTGTCAGGATAGATTTCTGATTTATTTTAAAGTAAAATCTGCATCACAAGTTTGCTTGTATATTGGCTACCTAGGTGCAGATGTATTTTGTTTGCTTTTTTTCTTTTAAGAACTGATGTAGGTGAGTGCCATTTTCACAGTTGACACTGTGGATTGCTCAGTACTTAAACGTAAACTAGCGCCTTTTGCATTTCTAGAGTTTAACTAAACGTGAGCAAGTTATTTACCTGGAAGAAGGGTGATGTTGCTAAACCAGCAGTGACTCAGTGCATGATGACAGGACATTTCTGTGTGGTAGCTGGGCCCCGTTGTGATGGCTGGGGCATTGGCCAGGGTCCCCCATGCTGTAACACAAGTTCTGCTTCAGTTCCCCGTGACACAGTGACAAACTAAAATGCTTTATATAGGAGTTAACAAGGAAGTTGATGCTGCTGCCCTGTAAATACTCTTCTGCTCAGAAACTTGTTTATTGAAGTAGGAATTCAAGTTGCCCGAAGTTATTAACTGAATTTGTAAAATTGAGATGGACTTTGGTGTCTGTGGAGCTGGGCTCTGCTGTCCACAGCACCTCCTGGCTGTAAAGGCAAACAGGCTTTCACAGTGAATGTTTATGTTTACATCAAAGTGTCAAAGATTTTTTTTTCCTTTAAATGGACTATATTTTGACTTGGATCTTTTACTAGGAGTCCTTTTTGGGGAGTGCCTTGAAAAGAACAAGGAGCAGGACTTTGGCTTTACTGGAATGTAGGATGGAAGAATGAAACTGAAGTTGGTTTAGTTTTGGGTTATTTTTTTTTTCGTGTGTGTGTGTGTCTTCAGTTGCAAATTGGTTTCCTTTATTGATTTTTGCAGAAGAAATCTCAGGGTCTGCACTGAGAGTGCTGCAGTGTCAATACCTGAGGAAACCACAAAGGCTGTGATAGCTTATGTCTGCCCTTGTAAGCATCAAGCAGTGAACCAACCGCTCTGGGAAGGTATCCCAGGTCTGTTTCATGTAAACTGCCTCCTTGTATTCAGAGCTCCTTAAAATTACAGCCAGAAATTTAAAAAAGTGGGAAACTGCTGCCATGCCAGGCATGAGCAGGAAGATCTCATTGCCCCTGTTCCTTTGCTCAGTGGAAAAACCCACACTTTAATGAAAGGTAATCAGCTAATAAACTTGCTAAAATTTTTGTTATTTTAATAATGCTTTTCTGCACTCTTTAAAGATTTTTGTAGACGGGAAGGAGAAGAAAAGTATTTAAGATAGATTTTTGGTTTGTTTTGTTTTGGTTTTGTTTTTTAAGATACAAGCCTCCCCTGTTCAAGCAGCCGAAAAACCATCCCTCAAAACCTCACTGAATAGAGAAGAGTACATATGCCGGTTTAAGATTAGAAGCTCACAGGCAGCATTAAAGGAAAAGTGACTCTCTTGTGTTTTTTCTTACTGCTGTTAAAACATGGGGAATGTTTCTCTTTGAAATTCTGGCATCTGCCAGCTTGTATTTGACTTTGTAACATCCCTTAAGTCTACTTGTTTTCTGTTATCTGCTATGTTGTTTGCTGTTTTGTTTTGTTTTTTCTCCTTCAGGTTTTATGCTATTTACATTGTATATATTCATTTACCCATAAAATTTTACCACAATGAATGTACAAGTATATGGTTCAGGTGTGGCATCATGGTTGACAGTGTCTGCTGGTTCCTGGACAATGATACTAAGCAAGTAAGATGCTGGGCATCATCATACTTTGCTCTTGGTTTGGATCCCTTCATTTTTAATAAAATTTCATGTGCCCAGAGACTGTGGGTTTCTGACTGTCACAAAGATATAAGGTGCCTAAATTATACTGTGCCTTTGTTAGACTCTCCATACGCCAACCCCAGCTCAGTGTGTTGACATGAACATGAAGGGTGGCAGAAGCCCTGAAATGTGTGACTTTAGGTGGTTAAAAATAGTTATGTCTGAAGTACAGCCTCCCATTCCCTGCACTGAGGACAATGCTTGTTTTGTTGATGCTTCCCCTTCCCAGTCTGCTTTGGAGGGTACCACTGGCTCTATTCTGCTGTTTTTGTGTTGACAGAGATTTAGCCTACAGAGTTACAAATCTTTATCTGTATCGAAGAGAATTGGACAGACTTTATGACCATCTAGATTTATCTGTAGCCATGAAGGATGGAAGGACAGGGCTTGGTGCAGAGAGATAATACCTCCTAACCTAGCAGGAAGTGTTTGCTTTACTTTACCATGCCGTGTCAATTCAGCTGCAACGACAGTGGCATAGGCAGTAATACTACAAACCATATCCTGATATAAGGGAGGCTGAATTGAATATAGCCCATGGAATGGAAATAGAGTGAAAAATGATACCTGTGCATTTGCCACAGTTTGTTGGCAGCCTGTGCAGTGCAATAGGTATGTCTTAAGACAGACCATGGAGCTAACTTGAAAAGCATTGAGGGAATTAAGTTTTTTTTTTAATTAGGTGTTTCTCTGAGGGGGAGCAGAAGAACTGCTTTTGATGATTTGAGATTTTTTGCCTTTGCATGAAATTGAGTTTTAATCTCCCAGGCAGATACTGGGATTTAAAACCCAGTACATGCTGGCTGCATGTTACCTGAACCTCACCAGTAGAAAATTACGTGTGTTCTCCTGTCCCTTGTCAGCCTCTGTTATCTAATGGCAAATGCGCTGGATTATCTGTCCTTCTCAGATTCCAGCTCTTGTGTCTTGGCTACAATGAACAAAAACCTGATGCGGGTGGTAGAAGTTTAATTTTTATTCCATCTTCATTCTGTATGTTTCCTGCCTTACGGTGCCTCCTAGGTCTCCCTCCCTTCTACAATTCTGTCTTCCCTTGGGACTTGAAGACAAATTTCCTTTTGGGTTCTTAGCATCTCTTGGTCACTTTCTAATGCTTCTCCTTGGACTTTCCTTTCTTGTTTGTCCAAAAGCAGAATTTTCTCACTGAAGGTATAACACTGATGAGATCTGCCAAAGACTGGGGAAAGGAAGTTTAAAAAACTAAAGAGGCTTTGCATGCGTTCACTGCTGGAGGTGAGGGTGGCAACAGGGCACACTCATTTGAGCTCTGAGGCTTTAGGAAAAGACAAACCCCAAGCAAAGTTTACCCTTCAGTTTTTTTTCACATTTTCAGTTACGACATATACTTCAGTATCTCTCATGAAGCTCCTCAGCAGCTGAGTAATTACTAACTTCTTGTTATTTAGTGCTTGTTAAAAAGGAGCTGGAAAGCAAATGTGGTTTGTTTTCAAAGCTTTAAGAATTCACAAGAGAGTGAAACATGAGAAATACCCTGACAAAGGCCTCTGAAAACGAAGCATGGGAGAGCATGTTTGCTGGGGGTTGTTTGCGTGTTTGTTCATTTATTTGTTTTCACTTCCAAGATGAATCATTTTATTTAGCTTCAGCTTTTTGTCATGGAGAGGCACATCTGCTGTCACAGCATCAGCTTGTTCACAGACAAGCAGTGGCAGTGGGCTCTTTGATGGGTTTGCCGATCTACCACAACTCTTCACCAGGAGATGGTGGTGGTCTCCAGGGGCCACTGGCCTCAGTCCCCTTGTCAAGGGCTGAGTCAGGGTTGTGCTTTCAGAAATGATAGAGTGTGGTGAATGACATCTTATCTGCATATTTCTGGATACATTTTTTTGGTAAAGATGCTTCCAACTCAGATGTGTTATTAAATACACAGCGATGCACCAATCATTCTGGAATCGGATGAAAGCTCTGAACTGATGCAGGTCTCTCTCCTTGACGCTGCTGAGATCAATCTTTTCTGATTTATGTGCTACTGTGAACTGAAAACAGCCAATTCCTTTATCGAGTTTATGAAACCACTGAAGACCAGGTAGGCCAGCAGCAGCAGCTCTGCCTTATTCTCCCTGTGCTTCCCACCGGTGCCCACCCACCTCTTACGTCCTGTTGAGCATCGTCTTACTTGGGAGAGGAACTGTCTTCCCTGTCTGCATTTTGCACAGCACATAGAAGAGTGATGGTATGATCTACTGCTGCTTTTCTCAGCACAGTGATAATGCAGGTAAGAATAATCCAATACATCTTTTATTGACTTTGCATTAAGCTGTCTTAGATGTGACGCCATTTGTAATGCTTGCATCATCTCATTTTCTCTCTGAAATTCTCTGAATGCTGTATTATTGCCAGCACTAAAAGAGTACACAGCACAGAATATTTTTATGCATTGCAACTTCTAATATTTTATGCTACATAAATATAATAGCATATAATACATAGTATTACATACTATAACTTTGCTTTTAAAGCTTTGTTTAAATTCCTTTCTTTTGGAAACAACTTGCTTTTCCATATCAAGTATCACAGTATTCTTGGTGTGCTTGTCTCAAGGTTTGTCTCTTGTTTGGTGGGCTTTAAAATACTAGTAATTGTATCTCCTTTGGGCTTGCTTCCTCTTCTGGAAAATTCAAGCTTATATGGGGTTGAGCATGCTGTTAAATTTTATTTAGCATATGAATTTATCTTTCTAGCGCTGTACATTGATTTCTGTGGTTAGAAATTTTACACATTGGGAACTAACTTTTGCAGGCCTTTAAAAATAATGTATGTGATACTGAAAGCACAGATGAAACTGTTTCTGAAAATGAAATGGGACATTCTGGAACACCTTTTGGGGATTGGTATGTAATTCAAAGATGAGCTCCACTAAGTCGTCCTGTTCTAAATTCAGCCTAGTGATTTAAGGACCAGTGTTTGTTTTAATTCAAGGCAGTATAATCAGGGAAAATTTGAGCCAAACTCAGTTAACAACAAGGAGGCAATTGGTCCTTTAATTTTCCTTTTGATTTCATTTAAGAATAGCCAAGAAAAGCCTCAGTAGCACATTATTATTATTATTATTATTATTATTATTATTATTATTTATTATTATTATTATTACCACCTTTCTCATTACCATGCAGTCTTCTTGTCTCGAGAGCTGCAAAGTTTGGGTACTGGCTGATTTCCACACCTTAATTGTTTAAACCAACAAAAATAAAACCACACCAAACCTTCACAGTTCTGAAAGCAGTCATCATTGTGGGTGCTGTAATACATTTAATTTTACCACTAGATAATGAAGTTCTTGAAAAAATTAATCTGTTGGAAATTATACCACAGAATGGGGATTTTGAACTATGGAAAATAAGTCTTGGTCACAAGAGCCTCCAGTACAGGTGAAGTTTTCAGGTGCTGCTTAGTCAGAATAAATAGGGGAGGTGTGCTGTGAATTAAAAACAAAAGCAAGCTGAATATATATGATTTTCTTTGGCAAACTTCATATATTCAAAACATTTAAAATGTGGAATCTCTCTTCACATGTGTGCATTTGTACACACATAACCCACAGCTTTTTCTTTAGCTAAATAGGCATCTTAATCTCTTAGGATTTACAGCTTTATACAAAGAGGAGAGTGTAAGTTGTGTCTTGAGAGTCTTCTGTCTGGAAGTTCAGAGGGATGGACAGGTATTTAAAAATAAAAATACTTCTGAATAATAAATTATGTTGGAAAGATAATGCTTCTTGAACTTGCTCCTTGTTTTGAGTCCATACTTAAATCTTCGCAGAGTGTGTGGTACTTGATAAACTAAGAGACAATGAATCCTTAATTTTTATACCAGGGCCTCTAACATGTTGAAAGATACTTTTAAAATTAAATCCTCAGGGCTGTTACCAAGGCTACTGAACGTGACAGGGTTTGTTTTCAGAAGTTACAGAAGAATGGTAGAGACTCAGAATGTTGCCCAGAGCTGTTCTTGTGTTTTGCATTTTCAAAAGATCCTTTGTTGTGAAAGGGGCCATATTGCTACAGCAGCAAATCTTTATATATTAATTAAATAGGTGAACTAGAGGTTTTTTCCTAGTCTTTGCCACAAATAAAATATGCAAAACACTTTTTAAAGAGCATCAGATGTGAGGATGATTTAGGTTTGCTGCTTGGCTTAGGATAGCTGAAATGGGGAATTCAAAGCAATGTGACATAGAATCACAGATTGGTTTGGGTTGGAAGGGACCTTAAAGCTCACCTGGTTACAATCCCCCTGCAACAGGCAGGGACACCATCCACTAGACCAGGTTGCTTACTGGGTGGTGTGAAGAGAGCACTGTCCCCATCGGGATAGAGGAACCCAGCTTTGCCCTTGCAAAAATGCCTCAGAATTTGAGATACTTGAGATTTTTGTCACTACTTCTGCATATGTTTTTTTTTCCTGTGTCACCAAATGATGCCTGGACAGGCAGGCAGGCAAGGGTTTGTACCTTGGACTCTAAGGACCACCCTGGCTGGCTAGCACTCAGTGCAAAGCCCTGGCTGCACCGGTGCTGGCGTGCTCAGACAGGGGTGATCCTTTGGGCTGGAGCTGACACCTGTGATTTGTGGGGATTCACCCCACCCAGGTACAGGGATTTTCCGGCTGTCACGGGTGTCCCAAGGTCTCCTCACTTCCTGATTTCTCCACTTTGATTTTGTATTGGGAGCTGCCCTACTTTTGAAATGCCTGAATTCGTATGTCTCTGATGGACCCTCACAGCAGCTAAAATCAGTATTCCAGAGCTGTATCTGTGCTGCTTTCCCCTGCTGAGCATGTTTGCTACCAGAAAAAAAAAAAAAAAAAGCAACCAGTGCCTTATTTTATATTTTATTTTTCTTTTTTTCTCTTTTTTTTTTCAAATTTTTCTCTCCTTTTTTTTTCTTTTTTTTTTTTTTCCTTTTTAGGGAAAACCTAACAGCTACAGACGCCATGAGGGTGCAGCACACTGATGGGCTTCACTACTGGAGCTCTAAAACCTTTTTTTTTTTTTTTTTTTTTTTTTCTTTTTTCCAGAAAAACTTTTAGCAAAAACCAGGATGTAAACAAGAAGCCACTGCAGCCTCCGAGGCCACGCCGTTACTTGCTCGTGTCCGTCTCGCTTGCCTGCTGTCGAGAGCGGGCCGAGGGTGCTGAGGGTGCCTCTTCCTCCGCGGCAACTCCCCCCTGAGGGTAGACCACAAAACACAGCTTCTGTCCCCAGCACGTCATGGACTCTGCAGGAGCAAACGTGCGGGTGGTTAATGGGGATGGTTGAGCTCGTCTAAAAGCACGGTGCTGGGGTGATGCAATGTGTGAATCAATGTGCATCTTCCCGTCCATGGCCGCTTGGTCCTGCTGTGCAGAGTCTGCCCCTCCAACCCTTCTTATCCCCAGCTCAGTGATAAAACAGTGTTGGTGAAGCAGGGGCAGGTTAAGATGAGAAGTGTTAGGGATGCTTTTCCCAGCCCCTTGCAGAGCTGTGCTGGCAGAGATGGGCTGGGATGGCTGCCAGCCCTCCTGGCACTGTGTCAGCAGTGGGGACTGCTGATCCTGGGGACCTCTGGTCAGAGCAAAGGGCTGCAGTGTGCTTGTTTTAAAGTCCTTGCCTCAGAGCAAAGCAATTAGAAGCCAATCATAGCCAAGCCATCAAAGACTTATGTGCAGTTTTAATTTTACATGAGTGATAATGTAAGGCTTTCTTTTGAGGGTGAAATAATTCACTGTGCCATGTGGGGTTTGTGCAGCGGGATGTGCTGGTGGCAGAGTGGGATGAAAGCTTGTGTGCATTTATTAGTCCTTTTGTGATAGTTCATTGAGCCTTAATAGAATTACGGAATGGTTTGGGCTGGAAGGGACCGTAGAGCTCATCCAGTTCCAGCCCCCTGCCATGGGCAGGGACGCCTTCCACTAGACCAGGCTGCTCCAAGCCCTGTCCAGCCTGGCCTTGAACACTGCCAGGGACGGGGCAGCCACGGCTTCTCTGGGCAACCTGTGCCAGTGCCTCACTGTTGCGCTCCTGTGTATCTGGCTCTGGGGCAGACTCTGGTGAGTGAGCTGAGCAGATGGGGTGCTGCACAGAGGCACGAAAGGAAGTGAGCAACCATTCTAAAGAGTGAGCAAAACAGCTGCCCAAAGGAGAGCTTTGTGCCCAGGGGCCACCTGTGACCAAGAGTGGTGGCTGGGCTCACACAGGATGTTCCCTTGCTGTTTTAGTGCTGCTGGTTCAGAGGTTAAGCAGATCCCTGCAGACACACGCACAACCAGGAGTGCAGTGAGGCACCGCAGCACTGTCTTACCTATTAGCCTATTTACACTCTTTGGTTTATTTCTCCAGTAGACTCCAAGGAAGAACACTGGCACTCCAGTTAAAATGATAATAAGTCCAACTCCACAGACGATTGGCTCGGAGTATAAGCTGAAGATCAGCAGAAATGCCCAAAACGCCAGGTAAGTGATGGGGATGAGGAGGTTCACCTATCAGGAGAGAGCAGAGCAGAGCACAACTGTGGTTGTGTGTATCCCATTTTTACACTAATGGCTCTCTGGGACATGGTTTGGGACCATAAAACATTACCACTACATCAAAAAAACCCAACATTATTCAAAACAGATGGAGGGCTTGATGTGCCCATCCCACCCTTTGCATCACTATTGCAACCAAGAGATTTAGCTTTAACATTGTCACCTTGATAGGTCTGAAGATTTTGGGTTTCTTGCATCGTAACACAATCAGGCCTATAATTGTCACTCCGTAGCAGAGGTAGTTAATAAATGACACATAGTTGATTAGCGTGTATGTGTCTCCAACAAGCATGATGACAAGAGTGGCCATACACTGCAAAGAGAGAAGTATAACCTTCCTTGAGTCATTACTAGAAAAAGTAGCTTAAACCCAACAAAACCAAGCAAAAACCCCATTAAAGCATTTAAATGCCTTTTGTTTACAGGCCCCACTGGGTATCTGCTGCCTCCTGTGGTTCAGAGTGTTATCCCTGAGCTGTGCCACTGGGGCTGAGTGGGGATTTATGGTTATTTGGGACATGCTGAGGGTCTGTTTATAAATACCCCGAGGTGCTGGCAGAGGTGACTCTACTGGCCATGGCTGGTCAAGCAGGGCCAGGAGGGCTGTCAAGAGCTCTGTGTCGCTCCACTCTACCCATTCCTGTTATTTGTTTTAAAAGCTATTGACCCCTATGGTGAGAACTGCTGATGGAAGAAGGATTTCTTGCAAACTGAACATGTTGTGGTCAGTGCACTACGTTGTTGCAGGTGCCCTGTATATTATAAAGAATGAGCTTTGCCCTTTATCCCTGCTGGCCCACAGCTCATTCTGCAGATGACTGGCATCATTAATCTTTTGAGCATTACTTGTGTTTGGAAGCTGGCAGATTGATGGTGGAAATTTCCATGCTATAAACTCACTTGTTTATACTGTGCAAAACCAGGAGAGCCGGCTCCTTGGGTCCCACACCATTGCCAGTCAGTACCCTGGGAGCCGCGCCCTGGCCTCCATCACATACTGGTCCTGTGAACATTGTCTGCTGGTGGCCAGAACCTGAGGGAAGCCAAGTATCCACATCCCTTCAGAGAGAGCTCAGGTTTTTGGTCTCTTACTCCAAGCTCTCTTTTTGCTTACATCCCTTTTTCTCAATTTGCCGTTCCAATGGCAAAGTCCTCTTGGAAGGGAGGGCTTCTGCACCACCAGCACCAGGAATTAAGCACTGCTATCTAACGACACTCTGGTCCCTCCATTCCCCTGTTCAAAGCCTCGCAGGCCTGACAGGGGGATTCCAACACCTTGGGAAGTATCACCACAAAATGGATTTAAAATAGGAGGGTGTTTTATACCCGTATAATGTGTTCCTGGCTTTCCTCTGACAGTGTCATACGCACACACAATCCTCTCCTGTCACTCACAGGATTTACAGCGATGCTGCTTGGAGCGTTGTGATTCTGTGCATAGGTGACACCAATGTGTCAGGTCTGCTCATGGTGTGGGCATGACTGCTGGGTGGTACAAGGCTGCAGGGGCTCTGCTGCTCTCTCAATTGCTTGGCCACAGCCACGTGGCAGGGAGGAGAGCTGGATGCTCCCCACTGTATTGCAAAAAAACCCAGTCTGTTTATTTTACACTTAGCTTGGTCCCTTGATTTTTGAAAGGATTAGTAAAAATACAGGCCTTGCTGGTGGTGTTAAAAAGCCCTTTCTCCACATACAAAGAAACCTTTCTTCATGCAAAGAGCTAGGTATGATTCATTGGAAGAGAAAAAGGAACCTGGGGTATTAATTAGGTTTGCCTAAAGTCTGACCCAGTTTGCTATTGTAGCTGTCTATATTATATTTGTTAATAAATTAGTATTTCCTAGGACTTGTTATACCCTGAGCTGCTTTAAAACACCTTGTTCTGTGACTGCACTGTGATTCAAGGAGGATGTTTTGAACAGAGCAGAGAACTGGTGTATGCCTGAAGGATCAGACAGCTGTTTCACAGTGAAGCTGCCTCTGAAACTCAGTGTGTAATTTCAAATAATGTATATTTAAGGACAAAAGAGTTCCATTTCATTGGCACCAGCAGCCCAGCAGTAGCCCATGGTGGGACCAGGGGTCTCTGCCTACCCCAACACCTTGCATGAGGTGTTTGTGGTGGGCACTAAGCCCCAGGGATGCTGTAAAGCCTCGGCTAGATGCAAATGTTGCCATAAAAGCAGAATGTGCAGGAGGCTTATTTGGTGAAATTTGGTCTGGGTGTATTGTGCCAGAATTGCTTTTATTGCTGGGAGACAGATACACAAGTGTGCACCTTCCCAGTGCATCTGGGGTCAAACCCGCCTGTTTTTGTATCAGTGGCAAATCTGCAGCTAGCCAAGATTTCAAATAAATGCCCTTTGGGGAATTCCCCTTCTCAGGCCATGCAACAGGGGACAGCAGCACAGAGAGTCATTTTCCTCTGTAATGTCTTTGATACTGCAGTAAAACCCATCACATATGCTACCCTCACTATTGATAAAAGTGTATGAAGGTCTTTGTTCCCAAATGGTTGTGTAAAAAATCATCAAAAGAGCTTCTCCCTTCTTAAACAAATTGTCTGTTTCAAAAGTCAGTCTCTACCTCTGCTGTGGGTAGAACAAGTGGTAATGGGCTTAAATTGCAGCTCAAGTTAGGTATGAGGGAAACCATCCACGCCCCCAGGATGGTTGGGAATAGGAGGGATTATTTCCGAAGCTGAAGGCTGCTCCCCTCTGGGGCCATTGGAGGTGCTTGGCCAGCACCCACCAGCAGCGTTCCCGGCTGACTCTCTTCTCCTCCTTATGGGGTTTAATGGCTTCTCAAGCTCTTCTCTCTGTGATTTACTATTTATAATAGCAGGTTACAGAAAAGCAGAGCAGGGACAGTAAAACTTACGCAGACAAGCAGGGCAGGGATGGGTGTGCAGTGCTTGACGTGGATCATGGCAAGCAGACTTGGCAAATGGCCTTCTCGAGCACCGGAGAAACATAACCTGGAAATGAGAGCAGTAATGCTGAACCAGCTGGGTGGACAACAGCCTCTTCAGTTCCTAGCCATAGAACATCTCTAATCAAAACCACCTGCACTGATGTGGAAGGGAGCTGCAGCCTATGGGTGCTGAGCTGCAACTGGGGAGATGACTAGAGACTGCTTGTGTAACCTGGTGTAAGTCACTGAAACTAGACCCTTCAGTATATGAGGCCTCTAATGGCTAATAGCATCTGTGCGGTGACCTGCTTTGAGATGCCAAATTACCTCTGAGCAGGAGGACTGAAATCTGTCCAGTTTGTCAGGGTTGCCTCCTTACCCAGGGTGGGATGAGTACTGTGAAGGTTGTGTGGGGATCAGCTATACACAGCCAAGACACAACCCCTCACAGGTAGTGTTTCCAGTGTCAGAAAGGTTTTAAATAAGGGTTAACATGCCTGAACTTTAACTTCATTTCTAAGTGCACAACCTGTAACATATGGACTCGGATTTGTGGCATCTCATTGTACTCATGAAAGTGCTGAGATAAATAACTTCCCAAGGTGCTTAAGACTTGAGTTGTTTCCTTAAAACTTTTTAATAACTTTTTAATTAAGTTCAGAGAGGTCAGTTAATATAAGTAGACTCTATAGACTACGCTGCAATACACTTTACAGATTCTGGCCCCACTATCAGCAGTGTGCATGCAAAACATCTTGCCCGAAAGGAGTTTTTCCACTACAGAATGAAAATGTCTGTAACTGGGAACAGCACCAGGCCCTAAAACTGCTCTTTGAGTGAAGCACGATTTAGCTTGTAGCTACTGGAACTTTATTGATGTAAAATGACTTTGGTTCCATGCTAAAGCCGTGTTAGGCTCTTCCTGTGAGTTATTCCACATCTGCAGACAATTTCAGAAGCTCATAAGGATTATTTTGCAAGAGATTCCACGATTCAATATTATATTTGATGATTCAAAACAGAGCAATTCATAACTGAATGTATCCAACACACCCAACAACGACCTCATGCTCTACAACATCCAAAATGTCTAGATAGCATTTCTTTAGCAAATGCAATTAAACCAGCCCCTCCCCAAATTAGATAATGTTCATAAAATTGTACTGCATCTAACCTTGATGAGGTAAAAAGGTATCCATTTATTCCTCCAAATGTAGATAGGGCCACTGAGACTGGCATAACCCAGGAAAAATAGCCCAGTAACTTTTCACCAAATGTCTAAAGCAACAGAAGGCAGAGAAACTGAAATACACTGCAAAGCACAGAACCAAAATCAAAGTGTATTTTAGACATCCAGGGAATGGTTTACTTACTACCGCCACAGCGTTGGAGGACAAGAGCTCTTGGGGTGACATGGCAGTGAAATATGCAATGTTGGTGAACGTATACACAAATGTCACCAATGGGATGGATATGAATATGGCACGAGGTAGGTTCCTAATAAGAGAATTAGGAGGGTAGATAAGAAATTACAGTCATGTACAGTGAGACCACAACAACCATGTACAGCTGTGTGTACAGGCACCAGTGGTGCAGTGAAAGGCCTTGTTTTGCTTTACTTTCCCCTGCTCTGAAAAGGAACAAGATCCTGTTATTCAGGTGGCTGTCTTGGCCTGCCCCATGCCGTAAACGTGGTCTGGTCATACACCACCATGACAACTTACAGCAGTACAGGTCTACTTGACCTCTGATCCAGAGACATGCTTAGAGGTGGACACCTGAACCACCCTGTATCAAAGGTAATAATGGATTTCCCTCCATGTGTCAGATTTGCAAAAAGAGTCTTTAAAAATTTATTTAACCTTTATGATTTTGAACAGATTTAGTAAAAATGGGAAGTTTTTTTTTTATAGTTTCCCCTTGGAGACTGCAATAATAATAAAAACAGCCATTCACTCCTTTTTCTCTTTATTTCTCAACTGAGGCCACATTTGCCTTATTTAAGTCATAACTTTTCATTATTCAGCTTTGAAATTGTGGTGGTCCATTAAAACGTTGGTGTTTTACTAAGGGAATGCTGTGCCAACTTGCTTTATTCCTGCCAAGATCTCTGGACGTGTACTTTGCCACTCACTAGTGCAAGTTATGTGCAGAGCCGCTTGTAAGGCTGCAGCTCTAATCCATTCCCACCCAGGCACTGTAATAGCTTCAATTTCTCCTTGTTTAATCACTGTGTGCCTTGGATGCCCAGAAATAATGCTCGGAGAGCTGCTCTTGCCATTAGTCTTCCACTTCATCAGCTCAGAAATGTTGAAACATTTGAGCTTTGCTTTACTGTATTAACGTTCACTTTCCCTCCAGCTTTCCAGCCTGCTTGTGATAAATCATTTCCAAGCCCCTTCCCATACCCAGGACCAGCATGATGTTAGTCACCCTGTGGGGAGCAGCCGCGCAATCAGTTTCTGATCTTCTCTTTCTGGTGTCTGTGGAAGATCCCCTTTGGGTGAAAAAGCAAAGGGACTTAAACATAATCCCACATTTTTCTGATAGAAGTGATTCTCCCTATAGCCACTTGAATGGCATCTCATTGATGGTTATTTTTTGCTGTAAAAGCACTGTATGATTTAACAGTGCCATAAAGATGCTGCTTTGTTTTACAGGCTGGTTTCAGTTAATGCCTTACGCAACACATTTTTAATTCCATTGTTCCTTTAACTTGCCTCCCATCTCTTCCAAACAAAAAATCTCTCTCTACTTTAGAAAGACCAGTCCCATAGACATGTAAGGAAGCTGCAGCTTATGAAATGAATTATATTACCAGACAGCTCCAATGTCTCAGCACTTCAAGAAAGTGTGGATGGCACAGAATTGGATACTTGCCTGCGGGGCTCAACCAGTTCTTCCGTTACATAGTTCAAGAAGTTCCAGCCACTGAACGCAAATGACCCTTGAAGGAAAGCTAAAGCTAAATGCCCCACAGACGGAGTCATCCAAAAATTGAACGCGTTGCTTGGTGTCAGCTCTTTGTAGTTTCCTGCACAGAGAGCGCAAGCAAGAGGTTAATCCACCCCTACCTACCAGAGACACCAGGAAACAGGTGATTTTCAGTCTTTATTTTCATTGGATTTGGGACTTCGTGCTCTTCATGTCACCATGGGCTGGCACTGCACTTGCAGGGCTTTCTGTGGGGTGGTGTCCTGGGGAAGCAGCTTGGGTTGTACTCACAGCATCCCTCATTGCACTGAGGCCACCACTGTGCCTCATGGGACCAACCAGCAAGGCTTGAGGATTGCTCCTGGGCAGGGTCAATTCCTGCCTGTTTTTAATGCGGTTTTCTCTTACAAGAGTTTGGTGGTGTTCAGTAGAAATACTGAAAAATAAAATGCCTGTGGGGCTGGCAGGCTGTGGGACTATTACCACTGAGAAAACACATTTGCTCTCTGCAAATACTTTATCTTCCTTTATATGACTCATCATATACATGATAAAAACACTGTGAGCCTTTTGTGTTTTCTGCTTTCTGTTAAGTTGATGAGTCAGTGAGACCTTGTTTTTTTGCCTATTTTTAATAAGTGACTTTTTCAGGAAATTTGACTAGTGCCCACGTTCATTTTACACCCAGGGTACTTCAAATTTAAGGAACATACAACAGATGAAAAAATTTCAGTAAATATTCTGAAACATCCTCAGCTGCATTTATTCCATCAGAACCAATGAGGTGGGCCAGAAAGGGACTCATATGAGAAAATACAGCTGATTTCTCTGTGGTGACATCCTTTCTGTGGAGCCATCCTTTCTGTGTCTGCGTGAATAAGCAGCCTTGCAGCTCAGCTAAACCCAGCACTCCTTTGGGTCAGTTAGTAAGGAGAAAACAGTAAGTGGGGAAAATTACTTCTATCAGCAGTACCATACCCGTGTTGGAGCTGTCTCACAGAGTACCTTTAAAGATCTGTATGAAGCCCACAATAATGATAAGGGCCAGGGCTAAGAGTTTTCCTGCTGTAAATATATCCTGAATGCGTGTTGCCCATCGAACGCTGGAGCTGTTCACCCAGGTCAGGAGGACTGGAGAGCAAAAGACTGAATTCAGTGACATGAAATCATGTTTATTTAAGACCACACAGTCAAAGCATTGGAAAGCACAAAGTGACCTGCACATCCCTGTGGGGAGCTATAGCGTGGCTGGGAGCAAGGTGAGGAGGAGCTTTGCCTTTCCTTAGGAGAATCCCAGCTGCAGGGGCATCCCTACCAGCCAGCAGCCTTCCTGCCTTGGGGGCTGCTGGCTGCAGCTCCCTGAAGGTCTAGTTACTGTGCCTGGGTAGTGCTCAGTGTGTAGGGATCACCATCTCCTCATGGAAATGGTGAATGCCTCTGGTCCTTGTAGCTCTGGCTTGCTTTTGCTGGCTCTGTAAGTAATTAACGTGGAGCCAGTGGCATCCTGCATTTCCTACACACTTGCATTTGTGAATGTAAAAGTAGACTAGGAAGGGCTCAAATGGTGGGTCACCCATGCTGGGTGCCCATGGCCCTGCCCCATCCCATAAACTCGCCTGCTACCACTTCCCTGGGACCTGCAGGGATTCAGGCGCCTTTATATGCCCTGCTCCAGCCACTGTGCTTGCTGCAGGCAAGCAGGAAGAGAGTGAGTATCTCACACCAGTCATGGTGCCTGTCTTGGGACTTCCCTTGTTGTGGCCATGACCCCAGCCTGGCTGGAGTGGCCCCTCGAGTGGTCCCATGTAAAACCAAGACAAGCTTTGTGTGTGTGCAAGAAGCAAATACTCACGTAAACACACCATGGAGAGGATCCTGGAGGCATTATAAGGGGGGATACAGTTAGGAAAGACAGGCTGCAGGACATAGTTTGAGAAGGTCAGCGCAATGACAGCCAGACTGGTAGGGTACATGATAAGCACTGCACTCCACAGCAGCAGAAACCTGGAAGACAAGAAAAAGCAGAAGCAAGCATTAGGAGTGTGCTGGAGGAGATACTGCATACTTGGCTGTGCAGTGCTTCAGGACAGCTACCAACGCAGCAAGACTGGCACCTTCATCTCAGTCACATCTAAGAGTCACCTGCATGTGACTCTCCTCATCCCTTTTCCCCTGTTCCCAGTGCAATCTGGATTTTGAATTAAACATGTCTAAGCAAAGCACGGTTTAGGGACATCTGGTAGAGTGAGGATTATGCCCAGTGGGCACATGTTGATTTAGCTCTGCATGCCAAAGCAAAAGCATCTCTTGTACCTGAGCTGATGTGTCACTGCAACCGATGGCAGTCCCTACATTGAAGACACCTCTGGAGGGTTTCAGCAGGGCCCCAGCTGCACTCTTGGGGCTGCTACTGGCTGCCCACCAGTCACTGAGGGGTTCCTTGTCACTGTTCAGGTTGGCTCTGTGACCTGGGCCAGGGCAGGTTAGTGCTGCTGTATTCTGCAATCACTCAGCTGGGGCACACCGGGGCTGGTTGTCTGCCTTCACCTGCAGCTGAAGGCAATTGCATCAAATCAGGTACCCTTGCAAATATAAAGTGTGAGGCAGTTTGTTTTACACTGAGAAAAGGGGAAAAGTTCACTTATCTTAAAGAGCAGCAGTAGATCTGCTTTTAAAGCAAGTATTCTGCTCTAAAGTACAAGTATTATTATTTCTGTAATGAGAACTAGCTACTGCAAGAAAGTGAAATCCTTCTTTCTATGTATGTACACAGAGATACATACACATTAGTTCATTCATATACAAGTGTAACATGCAGTGATGCCCAGCACAAATGAGGATTGGAAATGACATTTCTAAATAATACTATATAATTTCTGGGTTACATGTGCTGCCCTTTTAGAAGCTGCTCCCTCCCCACATGCTGCCTGCTGCCAGTCCCTTAAGTGTGGCACTTAAGTTGAGGGGTCCCTCCCGGTGCTGTTAACATGGATGGAGGGAGTGCTGCTTGCTGGGTGTTTCTTGGACAGATGTGGTGAGTGTTTTTCAGTTCTTTGTTACTTCTGGTACATATGGGGCAACCTGATGCTTCCTTTTTCTTAGTAATGTTGTGGTTTGAACCCAGCCAGACAGCTCGTTCACTCACTCCCCCCTTCTTTCCCTCCCCCTACTCCTGGAGGGACGGAGAGGAGAATCGAAAAGAATGCAACTCCCACGGGTTGAGATACGAACAGTTTAGTAACTAAGGTATAACACAAATCACTGCTGCTACCACCAATGATAATAATGATAAAGGAAATAACAAGGGAAAAGAATACATCACCTCAGCACCAGCCAACCGATAACTCACACCCTCAGCCTGACCAAGCATCGACCCATACCTAGTCCTACCCCACAGTCCCTAGCCCTTCTGGATAGCTCTCCGTTACATCCTGGGCATGACGTGCTGTGGTATGGAATACCTCTTTGGTCAGTTTGGGTCAGGTGTCCTGTCTCTGCTTCCTCCCAGCTTCCCCTCCTCCCTGGCAGAGCATGAGGCTCACAAAGTCCTTGGTCAGACCAAACATTTGACCAGTAACTAAAACCATCAGTGTTATCAGCGCTGTTCCCAGGCTGAAAGTCAAAAACACAGCACTGCATCAGCTACCACGAAGGAGAAAAAATGACTGCTACTGCTGAACCCAGGACAGTAAGTATCAGAGAATCAGTTTGGCAAGCTGGCATGATGCAAGAGCTTGTTACCTTCTCAAATGGCACCACTGATTTTAAAATTGGGGTTTTTTTCTCTCCTTTCTCTTTATTCTGTTGTGTGAGTCCTATTTTTTCTTTTTTTCATGATTTCTAATGTTTTCCATGTGGTTCAGAGCAATTTCCTCCAGTAATTGCTTTGTGCTATTTGGTGCTGTGGGTTGTGTACCTAGTTTGCAGACCCTGCTTGCTGGATGAGTTAACCTGGCTGGTCCCCACTAAGGCTAACTATGACTTAAATACTGCAATTAATTGCAGTAAAATAATAATAAAAATATTAATAATATTAATAGTAAAACAATAAAATAATAAATGAAAAAATACATAATAAAAATAATAATGTGCTGATAGGGTTAGGATGCTGGTGTTGCTGAGCAAGGTCAGGTTCAGCCACATCTGTGGGGCCATGGGGTTTGGTGGCAGATGCCTCTTCCCTATCATGTTTATCTTAGTTCAGGCAATCTATAAAGGCTGAATTCAGCTGGAAGCAGTAAGTGAGGAGAATGACTCTGAAAACAGTATTTCAGGCAAAACTGACCCTTACTTCTATGTTGTAACACGGGGTGTGTTGGTATTGGGTAGAATATGATTTAATGGAAATGTGAATAATTCAGTGGATTTCTGACAGTCATTTTGTTTCATGCTGAATCGAAATACATGCAGGACTGATAATGCCAATTAAAGTAAATGCAGAATTTTAGCAGAGGGTGACAAAGTTGCGCTGTCAAACGTGAAGCTCAAATGAGAGATGTCATTAAAACAAGAAAGAAGCTTGCCTAAGGCGTGGGCCCATTTTTATCTTGTTTTTCCAGGTAAGTTTTAACTAATGCCTGCTTTTGAGAAAAAAGATATCCCCATGGGTCACTTAGATCACAAACCTGAACAAGTAGTTGTTGGGGCTCGGGAGGCACTGCTAAGTGCTTGCCTTGCTCTTGTGGTGTTTGCTGCGACTGGCAGGCAGGAATTAATCCCAGTTATTACCACCCAACAGTCCAAGTCTTCTAGGAAGTCTTTGCTTTAAAAGCACCACATTTTATCATCTTAAGAGTACAATTTCCTTAGTGAAGAACAGCTGTTCCAGATCAGTTATAATTAAGTGACAGAGGGCAGAAATTCCCTGTGGACATAGCTGAGCATCAGCTGTACTTGCCATTGCAGAGCACAGGATCAGGAAAGGGTGGTGGGCTGCAGGTGTGCTTTCTCCTCTGGGCGGTCGTGCAGAGGGAGTGTAACCAGCACAGGGAGCCCAAAGCTCAGTTTAGAGCAGGGAGATGTCATCAGGGCACACCTGGAGTTACTCTGTCCAGTTCTTCAAATGGAAAGTGGGGGAACTACTGCCCTGAGGGCTGATCTGTGGCACTGGGGCTGTCAGGAACTGAACCTTGTCTGATAGATTTTCACAGCTACTCAGTAATGTACAGCACTACAAGACCCGAGAAATTAAATCTCTTATTGCTGAGAAGTGATGAGGCTGTTAGAAACAGGCTTAAAGCAGCTGAATGTAGAGAAAAAGGAGATATAGCTGCTCTTGCAATTTTAGAAACACACTGGAATAAGTGACAGACTGTGGTGGGATGTGCTGCTTTGGGGAAGGTGTGGCATTCATGAGGAGGTGTCAGTCATCCCTGGACCAAAACTGATTTTATTTTCAGATATGTCTGCATACTGATTTCTTCACCCATGAAAAGAAGTGAACAGCATGGTCTGATCTGTGTCTCTAGTAGTCTAGTGGACTTGGTGAAACAGGATCTCAAACATGTATTTGGGATGTGCCTGTACTCCCAAGAGGATCTCACATTAGATGTAAGATATCATGGAGTCAAAGCAGCCTATGAAAATAGAAAATTACAGTGTGTCCTACTTGTGTGTCATTAACAACAGAACAGTTTGAAATAGATGCTGTAGTACAGATCACCTTACCACAGGAAAAGCTGAACTGGTTTAAGAAAGTGGGAGCTGATTTGAATATTATTAAAATTATCCTACATTGCTGAAAAACTCACTGCCTTTGGAAACTTTAGATTTTTGCATCATCAATGAAAAGGAAACATAGAAGTGTATTTGAAGCATGTTTTACTTGCAATCTAGAGTGACACTTACTTATCAAAGCTTTGGCTTAGAGCTCTCTCCTGATATCAGTACCACTGATTTGTAGTAAGGACTATGTCCAAGCCATTAGGCACTGCTGGTGAGGCAGCTATGCTGCTTGCAACGTTATTGCTGAGCATTTGGAAGAAGCTCTATTTATCAGAAATGCACTAGTGAGTCTTTCATGGAGCCGAATTTATTCATTGTCTTCTGCAAGAACACATATTAAGCCTATTACTTACTATCTTAGGTAATGTTCTTTTTATGACCCATACAGACATGCAAGCCTGTCTGCATGTAAAATGAGCTGTGCTCAGTCAGCTCCAGCAGCACAGGATGTGACACGTTGCCTGTTCATACAAATGCTGCTTAAACCCAAGATGATATCTAAATGAAGATGAAAGTGGGACATCTGCTCTCGGGTACCAGAGCAGAGCCCAGTGGTCAGGAGCCCACCCTCACCTCTTTCCCTGGTCAGAGCTGCCACTGGTGTCCCTTCTACAGGGTCATCTCCAGCTGAGTTTTGCCATCACCACTGCTTCCAGCAGCACTTCAGGCACTGTCCTTTGGCTGCTCTCAGACCCGGAGCTTTTGCCAGCTCAGGAGATGGCCCTGTCCTGCCTCTCTCTCTTATTCCCTTCTCCTTAAATCACACCTAGCAGTGATACGATTTTCTTTTTTTTTTTTTTTTAGTTACTCAACCAACTCTCAATACTGCCAGGCACAGAAGCTGGGACATGTAATACTCCAGTGCTGTTACAATCAAATAGTAGTAGTCCTTTGTTCCTACACCAGGAAGGCATAATGAATGGGGAGGATTTTGGGGGGCATGGACAACAGTAGTGAAGAGGAAACGTTTGGGTGGGTATGGCGTGTACTCCTATAACACACATCTTCATGTGAATAGACCAAACCATTCAGATTTGCTGTTGGCAAAATCCCGTGGCAGATGCAGTGAAGCTTTGTGTGCTGGATTTGATGTTCTTTGCTGTAGGAGGATTAAACCAGAAGAGAAATCTGGCTTTTGGAGAAGCAGTGTTATTTTTCCTTGGGGGGAGGCACAGTGCAGGCTCCCAAAACGCCCTTCTCAGCTCAGAGTCCCACACACGAGTGCCAGCAGGGGAATGGGCGCTTCGAAGTGGAAAACTGAAGGTCCTTATGGGAGCTCCCCAAAGCTGCAGGCTGTAGGCAGTAGCTCAGCAAAGGGCAACAGGGCGCAATCCCAGCCTGGCTTTACTGGAGAACTGGGGTCTCCCTTTGTACACCAAAAACTACCTGGATGCTTCTTGCCTAAGGCAACACTTCGTCATGCTTACGATATGTTAATTTTCTTGGGAGAAAAGGTAAGGTCTCTGCAAAGCAAGAATGGGAGCACTGCTTTCCTGCAGCTGACAAAGTTGTGCTTTTTGACATTGCTTATGCATTGCAAGCCTGGTCACCGAGCGAGCTGCTGCCTGCTTTCGAAGGTGGGAGCATTGCTCAATGCCCAGGTAGATGCTGGGTAGTGATCAGCAACAGGCATGTTGTTTGTTACAGCAATATCATGCTGTAACATGCTTTCTGTCACCATGCAAATCCTCTGAATGTGGCATAGAGTGAGCTGAGGAACAACTAAAGCCAGGTTTAGTTGTCCTTGATTTCTTACTACTTTCTTTTTCTCTCCTTGAATGCATCATTCTGGTTTTGTGAAACTGATGGCTTCTGGACTCCTTCACAAGGATATTTCCAGGATGCACCGCACATGCAGTTTTATGCTCTTTGTTTCCTTGCAGATCCCATTCTGGGAGCAGGCGGTGTGAGAAGGTACTGATTGCCTGCTGCAGGATCCCAGGGAGCAGCGGATTTGCCATGCAGCTCCCTCCCACTGTGAGAGAACGCACCTTGGTGAAGACGAGCTGAGATTCAGTGTTGTTGTTGCCGCAATCCATGCTGTGACACAAGTGTGATTTTTCCATGCAAAGTGGGACAGAGTTCAGAGGAGTGATTCCTCCAACTGAAGAAACATGGACTCTTGTGACAACCAGTATAAGGCAACGGCTTGAGTGTGAAAGAAAACTTGTCACCTAGTGCATTTTCAGATGGGCAGCACTGAGCCTAGGCAGGCAGGAGCAAGGAGACAGCCCAAGGGACAGGGTGACAGCCTGTGTTCCACCTGTGCTGGTCAGCTCAGCAGCCAGGTCAACTGTTAGGAGCTTGTTGGAATAGTCTTTTCTTTTTCCCTTCTTCTTTCTCTAGTTCACAGCTACGGTGGTTATTTTTCCACAAATAAACCAGCATGTGTCATGGCATCTTTCCTTATCAGTGAGCTGCTCAGAGTTTCGATGCTTCTCTAGCTAGCTGTGAGTACAGGCTCATGATTTTATTTCTCTTGTTGAATACACAAAAAAGTAGACAGTCAGCTATAAATGATGACCTTTTCTCACTTGCCCCTTCCTCCCTTAGCCACTCTACTCCGTTAGTGGTATTTTCAAAGAGAAATCATTCTCTGAGTTAGCATTTTCTCCTTTTTGTGTTTCCAACACTTATTTTGTACAGCTATAGTTAGTGAAGCAGCACTGCAAGCAGCTTTGGTCTATGGTAAGTAGCTCTGGCCTGGGTTCCCTCACATGTGAAGCTCCTCAGTACAAGGTACCTATCCTTCAGGGCTGGCACACAGGAATGTCACGAGGACAAAGCATCATTTACAGCATTGCTCTTTCCTGTCAGGAACTTTATTGAATCAGAAAGAGAACGGGAAGTGTCCATTGTCTTCCCTTTGAAGGCAGCACCAGGAGGTGTGCATAGGGGCCATTTGGTATTTCTAATGAGAACAGAAAGAATGATTTTACAAAAGCATTTTATTGACAAATGTTCCCTGTCTCTTCCAAATCAAATGTCTTTTCCACACAAAATACTTAATATAAACATGTTTTCAAATGACTTTATAGAGATAGGGTACTTACCCAGCTAACCCACCAAAAATCTCTGTGACGTAGGAATAATCCCCTCCCGATTTGGGGATAGTCACTCCCAGTTCAGCATAACATAGCGAGCCAAGGGCAGCCACTCCACCGCCAAGCACCCAGATAATGAGAGCGAGTCCCACCGAGCCAGCATGCTCCAGGACTCCTTTTGGTGAAATAAAGATCCCAGAACCAATGATGTTACCTGTAATGGACAAAAGGTTTGCAGTGAGGCAGAAGAAAATGAGAAATGCTCTTTTCTTTTCTTATTAAAAGGGAGGGTAAAAACCTCTCAGCCCCCAGCAACCCAAAGCACCTCCTCCAAACCCTCTGTTCCTCTTCATAGCATGATTTTATTTTATCTGGTTGTGTCCTGGGGAAAGTGTTGCCATTTATCAGCAATCAAGGGCAATAAGCATGTGCTGAGCAATGCTGAAGCATGGTGAGACTCTCGTGAGTATCTGTGTTTGCAGCTAGCAGTTTTGTGCTTAGATTCCTTTAGAGAGGAATCTAAACAAGGCACATATTTGGGGGGGGTGGGAGGTCAAAAACCATTAGATCATTATCTATAACGTAAGGGCCAAGCAGTGCTCTTGCTACCAGGGCATATTTAAGATTTAGGAAGGGGTAATGGGTTTAAACCTAAACAGGGGAAGTTCACCTTAGATACAAGGGAGAAGTTCTTTGCTGTAAGGATGGTGAGGCACTGGAATGGGTTGCCCAGAGAAGTTGTAAATGCTCCACTTCTGGCAGTGTTCAAGGCCAGGCTGGACAGAGCCTTGGGTGACATGGTCTAGGGTGAGGTGCCTCTGCCCATGGCAGGGGGTTGGGACTGGATGATCGTAAGGTCCTTTCCAACCCTAACTATTCGATGATTCTATGTGCTTGAAAAAGTAATCCCAAAGTCCGAAAAACTAGAAATCCATTAACACTTTATATTTGCAATACCTGTGCTGTATAGTCATCACTCACAGATTTGTAAAGGACATTGTAGAGTGAGTAAAATGTTGGACAATGTGGACTTTGTCCAACTAATTTTGTCTGATTAGCATGAGCTGTGGCACTGCCGGGTGTAGAAAGGAAGTGCTGGATATCGCAGATGCTCTTTGTTCACATGGGGCCAGGACATGGTTGTCCTCCCAGGCCAGCAGAAACCACTCTGCAAGTGGTGCTTTGTGGCTGCTCAATGTCTTGAAGGAGAGTTTTTATTGTCAGGCTTGGCTTTTTTTTGAGCAATATCTAAATAGTTCTTCTCCCAAAAGGATGTGAAGATCCTGCTGTCGTAAGACTCTGATGAGGGCTCTCTTTTTCTATAAGTTGGTATTAAAATCCTCACTTATAAAGTTGACTTTAGAAGCATTTCTCATCAGTGCAGTCATAAAAATAAAATATTGCATGCTGGTTGTTAAGGCTGGTGACCAGGTTGGGCTCAGCAGCTCTCAGTCCAGAGACTGAGATAGGTAAAATAGGATGTGAGGGATGGAGGTTTGCTCTGACAGGCACTGAACCAGAGAAGATAAGTCTGCAAATATATATTCAGTATTTGTAAACAGTACATTTTCTGTGTGCACAGGCTGCCTTTTCTAATGTCCATGATGCACAGACAAGGTTAAGGCAGAAATCAATGTCTTAAATGGCGATGGAGGAGACTGAGGGTAGAGCTCAGAAAAACCTTGGAAGTGTTGAGATCTTTAGCTGTGGAAGGAGTCCCTAGGAAAGACCAAGGCATCTCCCACCTGCAACCTCCTAGTGCAGCTGGGATGGACAGCCACCAGGACCAGAAGCACTATGAATTTAAAAAAGAAAAGGGATGTAGATGTTAACAAAACTAGATTATACTAGAACAACAGTAAAATTAAACATAGCTGCTCCTTAGCTGAGCTAGCACAGGCAGCCCTAAGCACTGCTGCAGCATTAATTACAGCAGCTTGCACTGAAGGAATGGGTTATGATATGGATAGGTCGCATGATATTGTTCAAAGCACTAATAGATCTGTTCTGGATCTTCCCTACTGGGATGCTACATGGCTGGAGTGGTGAAATCTTTCAGGAAGATAGATGAGGAGTTAATACCTTGCAGAAGCATATATAATACTTGTTAAAATTGATGGGCCTTTTTGGTCATAGTTTCTCGTGCTGGCTGAAGCATTGCAACATACTTAAAACAAACAAGTTTTTCTGGGAGGCTGTTTGTGCCTTGTTCAAGAACAGTAACAAATCTTGAATTTAAGCTGAAAAGAAATACCTGCCTTAAGAGTTTAAAAACTGTCTTGGCAGTCTTTGGTACTGCTGTGTGCTGCAGCTGCAGCAGTTGTACGTCTGGAGGAAGGCCTTAAGTTACAAAGGACCCTTAAAAATGATCTGCTACCTATCAGTACAGATACCTGTATGTGTCTGGTTTTGACAGATCAATGTACCTGAAAATACTGCAGTTTTGGGGAGCATGTTGAACTTCAGACATCCTGCTTTTCACCATAATAGATCTGTAGTTTTTAACTGCTTCTTTGGGATGGGACAATATTCCTTTCTGGCAGCTGCAGTACTGAACAAATGGGAATTGTGAACAAATGGGAATTGCCCAAAGACAGAGTAACTCATAAATGAGCCCCCTGGCTCCCCTCACGCTCTCTCCTCCTGCTCAGTGCTCTCTTTCACCTTAGCTCAGGTTTACTGCTAATTTTGGCAGCAAACAGCAGATGCACATACACATCCTGCAGCAGGCTCCTGGTGAGAGCTTCCTGTGCTTTGTGTCACCTCTTCATTGTGTCAGTATTTTTTGGATGAAATCCATACACAGCATGCCATCCCCCAAAGTGATAACAGGCGAGAAATCCAGAAAACCCCATTTGCAGTGCGGTGTCCCTGCAGACCTGGGCTGATGGACCCAGGGAAGAGATGAGTCTTGGCGAGGTGTAACTGCACAGATAAGGTGGTGACAGCTGTCTGGCACGGTGGTAATAAGTGCAATCTAAATGCATTGACAGAGAGTCTATGGTGTGTTTTTTCTTAATGCTTGCACTCCGCACTGTCAAAGCCCTGAATTTCTTTGGGTTTCCACCTCTAGCAAAGGGCACTGCTTGTCCCCAGCAGCCTGGGTAGTGAGGGGTATCAGCAGCGGGGATTTACCCAAACCCAAACTGCTGCAGGGAGTAAGCACAGTGCGGCTTAGAGTGATGCTCTCCTGTCATGGCAAGACTACCAAAGCAGTCCTCCTTGCTTGCAAGTCTGTACTGAGCTGGAAAGAGCTCGTACTTTTTGTTTATGAATAATGCTTTTTGGGTGCAGTTACCTGAAGGAGCAGGACAAGAAAGAACAGGCAGCCTTCTGCATGGGCCTTGCACACAAACATTAACATCTTTTTTGTTAAACTAAGTAATTAGTCATATTTTAAAAGAATCTTACATCCTTCATGAATGAATATATGATAAGGCAAAATTTTCTTTCAAACACATTATGGATTTCCTATTGCTTTGCTCTTGCAACACGTGCAAAAGCCATAGCAGCCCCAGTGGAAATGCTACACCCCTTTTGACAACAAAATGTTCTTATGGAAACGTGCCATGAATGTGGTAAATGTGCCTGGGACGTACAGCTTCACTCGGCTTAGGACATGTTTAAAAATAGATATGGTGGAGATGCTGAAACGCTGCAAGAAAATGAGATGGCAGAAACTGCCTGATGAGAAGCAGAGTTTTCAGAAGGTCCCCCGTTCCTTAGCAGAAGTTCTTGGGCCACAAGACTTACCAGTAAGGCAGATGCTTCACCTACAAATAGGTGCCTCAAAGCAAGCCTCACTCAGCAGGAACTGAGGGAATTTGGTGAGCGACTCTGGGGCAAGAAAGAAATTGGCTGTGCAGTTGAGGGAGGCTGTTGTTACCGTGCTTGCTGTGTCAGGGATACCTTGTTTTGGCTTTTCTAGTGCCAGCACTCCTGATAGTCACTGCATTTATTTTTAATTCTAAGACGTGAAAAGATGGAAAAAAATGATTTCCTGTAAAACAGCCACTTTATCTGTGCCTTTGTGGCCTCTGCTACAGTTTCTTGCTAAAAAACTACTTCTTTGAACCAAAAATGCTTGACTTACATATGTAATTCAACATTTAACGTACATTGCTTAAGTTGATGCTGATGCTTTCACACAACACAACTGCTTGGGCAAGGTAGATCTATTCTGTGGTCGTGGTGTGTGTGCCCCAAGCCCACTGCAGATGCTCAATGCATTCCACTAGCCACAAAAGTGGAGATGGAAAAAGATGGGGCCACTGAAATAGGGCAGGTGAAATGTGCCAAGGGGGAGAGAGCAGGATGATGAGCCCCAGTCTGTCTCTTTCTGCTGGCCAAGCGGGCTCCCTTGGCACGTGAAAAAGTTTCTGGTAGTAATAAAACAATAAAGATACTCATTTCATCATCCCTTTCCTATTCCTCACCTTAAACAAGTATTGGTTTCCTGCAGGACAGAAGCTGACCTCAACCCAGCACTGTGTTGTGTAGCACCACTAAGACTTGAAAAGTCATCCTGCAAATATACAGACCTCTGGAACAAAATCCTCCTTCTGGTCTAGTCAGTTGAGACTTTGTAAAAGTGAGATTTGAGAGCTGTGAACTTGACAAATTCTGTCAGTTTGTTTTTTTGCTTATTCACAGTAACAATGGTCTGTGATGGAGGCAAGCAGAAAGGCAGACCTCGCAGATACGCCTGCTTGTTGTTAAAGAGAAGCATTTTGTTCTTAACTCAGAGAAATTGGCCCATAAGGTTGCTCAGGAGCTCAGCCAGGGTCAGCAAGACCTTGGATAATCTGGGTAAGATCTTAGAAGCAATATATTTCTGGCTATTTTACTTGCCTTCTCTGTTTTGTATTTATTCATTTTCTTTAAGGCTGCAGTGTTCAGATCTTGACAGTTTTACAAAACAACTCATGAGGGCCAGGAATATCATTTTTAAACAAAAGCCGAGGTTCTCGTGCAATAATACCTCTTCAAGAGTTATTGTAAAAGTGGAGAAGGAAAGGCAAGCAACACTTATATGACAAAATACTGTGCTGCATATAGGTGGAAAAGAGTGCATGTTGCGGTGACTGACTATGGTGAGACAAATAGGATACAGATACTAGAAAAGTCCCATGATACAGGAATTTATGCTCTTTTATTCTATTTTATTTTTTATAAAGCTGAACACATCTTTTCCCGGCTGCCCTTTGTATGTGG